AAAATTATGATAAATATCACCTGAAGTTTGGGTATGTCTAAATACTACCACCAAATACCAAAATAAAAAAATATTAATTATTAGTCACGTTACTTCGCAGTAGTACTAGTGCCATGTTTAACTATGCGTAAAACACACCGTCACTTGGGTTGTACTTTCATTCTGTGAAGCGATCTTCGAGCCATTCCACGACCATTCCAGCTCTTCTACAAGCCAGTAATAGGTGTTCCTCCACAGCGCTTTGGTTTTCTTACGAATCCAGAAAAATGTAGCGCTACACTTGCATATGGAGCAAAGAATTTTGTGCATGAACTAATATACTATGAATGATTTCAAATGAAGTGTTTCCTTTAAAGGACTGCAAGAAACCAAAAAATAATAGCTATATTATTATGCCTGAATTAAAAAGTCTCTGTAGTGCCTAAGTATAAATTGCTTTAACTTTGCTTGCAATAAATAATAAAAACCTTTTAAAATAGCAAAACTGTGCTCCTCTGATAAGAATATGGATAAAAGTACATTTACCTTGCCTGTTTAAAAATGCTGAAATCGTTTCAGGGAATTTCATGCGCTGCATCGTTGTATGATTTCTAAGACTAAACGAATAACTAGTTTTTGCATTAGCATCTGCCAAAACACCATTAAGTCTTGTTTTATTGCACTATAATAGGTGTGCGTAATATGGAATTGTGGTCTTGCTGTATGGATGCGTGGTGCGGAGTCCAGGTTGAGTAAAATGCGTTTTTTGTTCTCTTTCATACGTACATTTCTTTTGGAATGCAAACACCCTTTTTGGTTCTTAGCTTAGTTTGTTAGCGTCTCTTTTACGCCCCTTTCGAATCTAGTGTCGCGGACACATTTCACTATTCTATGGCAGAAACTTATGCTCCTTTGTGACCCTGCCTTAAGAGTTGAATGAAATTCTGGGCTTGATAAGTTACACTGCTTTTGATGCTTATTCTAATCCAAGTTTTGCTGAATTTAGAGTTTTTCGGAAACATGTATGGTAACAAGCAAAAGCAAACTCATCGACCAAAGATTCATCCAGCTACTTCAGTCGCTTCCGAAGCTTCCATGCATCGCCAAAAAATCGCGTCGTTAAGGTCGAATTTCCTGGCTCAACCCTCAAATCAACCCAAAGATCCTCTCTTCTCTGGTGGCTCAACATCAATTAACTCCGTTAATCACTCCCTTCCGAGTGATGCGATACTTTCGCGATCGCTGAATCCGAGAGCTCGTGACCCCTACACAAACGCTCTGGTTGGTAATGGTTTCCCTAATCTTCAATCTCGTTTTCTTAATTCGACAATCCAACCTGATTCTTATTCACCTTCTTTGACGGCTAATCCTCCTATGCCGTCGAATGCACCAATTCACCCTCGTGCCTCATACCATCCCCGTCATATTGTCGGGAGAAGTCTTCGTATAAGTCCCAGTAGTAGTACTTTCTTGCAAGTTCATGATCCCATCAAATCTCTCCATGTGGCTAACCTGACGAAATTCAGAACATCCGACACTCAGGCGTCGGCATGGAGCTATTCTTCACCCCACTACACTGATTCTAAATGCCCGACAATCTTATACGAGACGCTAACTAGCGTTCCTGCTCCTGAAGCCGGAATCGTCTCGAGGGATGCAAACACCGCGGCCTCCTATCCTCAGTCAAGCTTCAGTAACTCCATGTTCTACCATCGCGGTGTTATTGAACCCACGGAGCAATTTCAGTCTGTTATTACACTCTCGCCTAGTGAACCGCTGTGTCTTTATGCTGCTAGGCAGGGTGAGTACTGCCTGTCGTGTCAAAGACTGGCGAATTCGGGGACCTCTTCATTTCATCGGTCATCTTCCAGGCACTCGGTGAGTTTTGTTTTTAGATCTTGTAGTTATATTTGTATATCCTTCAATTGTCCCTTGTTTCAGTCTCTTGGAAGTATACACAAACCTTGGTCGTGGACACCTGAGTAGACTGTAAAGGATTTTAAAATGCAGAATATAAGGAAGCTTTACAGAGCTCTGCTCATGATGTAGTGCACGGGATTGAGACCATAGCAAAAGGACGGCGTAGCTTAGGGTTTTTTAGTGAATCTCTTTAGATTGGCCCCCGGACAGGTTCTTTTCTTCATCTCTGGAATTATAATTTGTTTTCTCACTCTTACCACCACTTTTGTGCCCGGGTTATTTTTGAGAACATAATCAGGCATATGATTCTGAGAGCAGATTTTTGTAAACATGCAGAAGGATTGGAGGACTAGTAGCTTTGATCGCATGAGTGGGGCTTATACTGCCTGTGTGTGGGTCGGATCCCAGGAGACCAAAAGGGTCCATTCTATTACGCAGGTCCGTCAGTTGATGTGTATCATCTAGGCTTACGTGATAACTCACACTGTTGCAATGCATGTGTAGTTGAGGCAACTCTCCTTGCGCTAAAACTCTATTCTCTACTCTTTCGAGTGACATGGATTGTGCATTTTGAACTGAGAAAATTGGGAGTAATTTACTCGAAGCGATCTCCTTAATGCTGGCTGAATTAACAGTATTTCTTATCATACACCGACTTCCCAGTATTTTCAAATGCTCTTTTCAATGCTTGGTTTGTTTCTACAGGCGGCGCGTAGCCTCACCCGTGTTTCCATTTAAAGTGTTCTCATACACCACGAATATCTTCGCCCGTCAATCAACAAAATTTAATTTCTTTAGATGAAAAAAGATTCCAGTGAAGATTCCTTTACAACACGTCGCCGGAGACGAAATAAGCTGCACAACTCTCTCCCAACTGGTTATCAATCTGTGAACGACCTAAAGCGTCGTTCCCGACGTCCTACCCTCGCCCCCTCTTCCTCATCGTCATCTTCAAGCTCTTCGTTGAACATCTGTGGTGACAACGCCTATGCGGCCCTCTCCTCTGACGAATTTTGGCCAATTGCGGTGTCGAAACCGCGGGATCGGGTGTGCCGACGAAGTCGTACAAGGTCGCTGAACCCGCGAAGGAGACGAAAGACCCCCGCATCGGACTCTTTGACGGACACCGCTCCCGTTGACGCTGAAGCTGATGGTGACGACGAGGAAGAGGAAGCAAGGGCTGTTGACGCCCTGGCAATGCGTCTTCAACCCATGCTAGCGGAGGGCAGGGCTGCTGAAGTACAGACCATTCTGCTGAAGGCGTTGACTAGACCTGAAACGCGGCAACGGGCGCTGAGTTTGCTGGACTATTTGACCAGTGAGGGTGCCATTTTCGCCCTTCAGAACCGTCAACAGGTATGTTGAACATGAAGGAATCCACATTCAGAATGAGTAAGCTCACTATGATTTAGTAATAAATACGCAAGACAGTTGATATCACTAGACTTTAATCGGTAAATTTGTCTGGAACTTTTTCTTATTCTTATGTCCGCGCCCCCTCATTGACCATAATTGCTAGCCGATTACATTGTGTTGGGACTCTAAATTTACATCTAGAACACTAGGTGTGTTTTAATCCCTTGGAAACGGTTTGTCGGAATGTTTGTTCCTAACCTGAACTGAACCTAGTTATCCTGTGCATAACTTGAGTATTTCATTGTCATTCTCGTCGATTTAAGTACGTAGTACCTTTTTCCTGAGGTTAAGTGGGCTCGTATGTCCATTATCTACCAGTTCCCCATTCGTCTGGTGCTGTTTTGAATGGTGCAACTTTCAAAATTCATTTCCACTACTTAGTACTCTCATTTACCGCCTTTAGCTTCGAATCTCCTGAAGGCCTTTTGTTCATTTTTTTAAATAAAAGGCATATAAGTGCTTAATTGAAAATTCATATTGCAGCTGGACTGTTTATATGACCAGACAGAAGGATTCCACCGACGAAATTCTAGTTGTTTTTTATCCATTCACCACCTGCTCATTGGTGTGGTAGCTTGTTTTTTTTTACGCCCGTTTTCCGCCAGTTTCTCGTAATTGTGCCGCTTTAATAGGAATAGTGTTCGGTTTTTTGCCAGTTCAACCTTCTTGTTTGTTTTCTAGCAAGTCGTGTTCACACATTTGCCGAACTTTGGTTAACACTTTCACCAGCAAAATTCAACTTGTCCGTTGTCCCCTGATGTGGTAGACTGTTGTTACTCTTGTGAACCCGTCAGTTTTCCTACTGCTGTTTTGAAACCTACTGGTCCTCATTAATAAAATTGCCTAAATTTATCATTACTCGCGTGCTTAAGGTAAATATACTGTACTTGCTCGGCGGAGGGCTTGGGTCTTTCAAAGGATGCTATTGCCAGGTCGCTTATCATTTGTTTCACCTGAACTGGACCATCCACTGGCCCAACACATCTAGACCTAAGTACTTTCCCGACGAAATTCAAATTTTTCGTTGATTTTTTGTCTGTTTGATGAAACAGTAGGAGACGGTTATTTTTCACCGCCTTTATGGCCAGTTTTATGCTCAATTTCCCGTTAAATCAAATGAACAAAGTCCCTGTCTGCTTTGTAATTTGTTAGAAGTGCGCAAACTGGCTCACATATTTTCCCTTTGTGGCCCTTGGGAAAAGCAATTATATGGAAGGCGCGGATCTGGGTGGCTTTAAAATGGGTCTTCTCGAAGACTGTGCTAGTTACAAATTCTTCAACGGCTGTTGCAATAGCTTTTACTACCTTTATTGTTACCTTGAGGCGCAGCGCACGCTACTAATTTGGTTATCAGTACCATTGTGGACAGTTGAATCGCTATGAACAAAGCATCTGTAACCAGAACTTTTAATTAACCCTCGTGCGAGATGTCCGGTCGAGGCATGGGTAGGACGTTTGCTACCAACTTCACATGTATGGGACGGTCCGGTTCTTTTGTCAAGGTTCAGCATCACAAATAGATGATAAGTGGTCTTTGCCATCTGACAAATGGTTACACAAAGTCGTCCGGAAATGACGTCATTTTTGATTCTTGAATGGAACCTTAAAAGCTCGACTAAAACGAATATTGCTTTATTCGATTACTTTGTTTCTTAATTTGCAAGATTGTAGATTGATTCTTTGACATTTTCATTACCAGCCTTTCTTGAATTATCATTTCGGGAAATGCCTTGGTTATAGGCATGATAGTGGTTATGGAAAATTGCAACTGTTGCGTGTGTCGGGTTATGAATCTTGTATTGCCGGGTAATGACAGCGTTCGTTACCTCTTTGATCACGCATAAGCCTCATTATTAACACTACACTCAGTTTGCGTTCTACTTTCAAGCAAAAATCTCCTTGATACATCAACCGTCGGCGTCTACGTTGAATTTGGTGACGCTTTTTCTGCTAGCAAAAACAGTAATTTAGTTTGTCTTTTAAATGAAGTCCAGTCACAGATGCATCTGACAGGAACTTCGTAAAAGCAGTTGGTAGCCAGGTTTTGGTCTACTTTGGGGTGTTTAGACATGTTCACACAATTACCGCAAAATTGGACAAATGTAGCAACAACTTATTTTGTTGCTTGAATTGATGAATAGCGCTGAGTGCCACATTTTTTTCGACCCCTCGCATTGGCACATTCTCGAACGATCCGAGGTATGCTATAAGCCAATTCGCTAGAGTACATCTTCCACTCTGAATTGATGCTTTCTCCAATATATTCAAGTTACCGAATGACATCTGACTCTGTACTCTCTGCGATATAAAAGTAGATGAACTGCCCTGCTTTTTTGTTACGGACGCATTCACAATCAGCTTTGCATAGATGTACAGACCCCGATTTTACTGTCTGGGCTCGGCATCACTATTTTGTGTGGCATGTGTTCTTTACTAGTTTCTGATAACTGTAGCCCCATCGGATCGCGTCACAAAGGGGGCAGTAGTTGAATAGGTCATTCCGATGGTGGAAGTGATGGGGTGGTGGTCCATCTTCGCCTTAGGGACCGATCCTGCCAGTTATCGGGATAAATTGGTGCTTGAACGTTGTACTTGAATGTTGTTTTAAATGAACCTAACAAAGAAATTTCCATTTAGCTAATTTCATTTTTACCTCATCACATTTGCTTACTTGTTTCTTTTGTTTTCAGTGTCGTCCCTGGTATGTGTTGTCAATGCACTTTTGTTTACCTGCTTGTTTGGTCGCTTGCATCAAAAGGCTTTCCCCTTGCATTCACTTCGCCATGCATTGCTTTATGCCTTTCCCACTCCCCACTAACCGACCGACAGTGTCTCATGAAATTTTTATGATGCCTCGTCTAACCATATTCGCACTGTGTAACTCATCTAGGAGAAGGCGTATTTTTAAATTTGCCGTCGAATTCAAACTTTTTCGTATTGCTCACTGTTCTCGTGTAGACGTAGTGATGGTCATACTTAACGGAGGTTGTGTTCTCACTGGACAGCTAAGGTCTCCAATAAAATTTTGCCATCACTATTACGACGAAAGGTGTGAACGTGGGCGTCTGTGCACTAATTGTACAATATTCGTGATCATGCGGGCTCTTCAAAGTGATTCATCTGGCCACTTATTCAAGCGTGAGCTGGCGTGAAACATGGAGTCTTACTACGAAGAGCTATTTTGGGTAGGTGGAAACCATTGCAGGCTCGGACTAGGTCTGCCTCTCCTACTATGTGAGCGCTTTATTTGACCTTAGGTGCTCGAACATGATCTCCTATTAAGTTCCAATAGTCATTGCCTCATTCCACTTTATCGAAATTACGAAATTTCCTTAATGTGTCAGCGGACCTTCGGTAACTTAAAGTTACTCATTACCTCTTGATCCACTTCTCGCTTGCTTGATGGGGAGCTGCCTGTGAGTTAAGCAAGGAACAAGAAAGATTATGACTTGTTAGAGTTGCACTTCTGTGTTATTGCTTTACTAAGCTGAGGGAAGTAGCCTCGACGCACAAAACTAGGATATCCTGATTTTATTTATTAACTAGCTATTTCTTTTACTAATCGAATTTTCCTCCATGTTTTCTGCCTTATCACAGCGCTTGCTTTGGCCCCACTAAACTGCACTAGCTACCTACCGCACCGGAAGAGCTTAATTTTGCATTTGACATCCCCACAGGAGCTAACATAATCTCATACTTGATTTTAATGCCCATTACTCCATCCTGGTAGACTCGAACCATGAGTTTTCTTATTTTAACAATAGCCTCGACTCCTTTGTTTAATTTAGTAACTATTAAAACCTCATCCACTTCTTTTCAACGTATGCACAAACAGATTTCCCCGTAAGTCATTAATTCTCGGTCAGTTTTTTTTTCACATGACCTTCGTTTAGTGGTGTCGAAGCAGACTGGTAAATCTCCGCTCTGCTGGAATTGAATGCTATCTCAGAGTAGTTTCTAGTGTTCAGTGCTCCATCCTTTTTCGATTATCTCAACTTTGGCTTCACTCCTTTACCTGTTAGCCTTTCGTTTATTTGACATGTAATCGTATGAGTTTAGCAAATAAAAAAAGATCGTGAACCATTCAAACTGTCGCATCACGTGGTATTTCCCCAGTGAGCTGTTTTACTTATCCACCGTATCGCATAAAACTGATGTCTCCTTCTCTACCCTGGGAGAATCGACCCTGACCTCGAAGTATTTTATCTCGGTCATTAATCCATCCCATTTGGTTTGATATACGATTTATTTTTTTTTAATTTGGTCGTCTTGTTTGAGATTTTGCTTAACCTCACCTACGGCCTGCTTTAATCCTCCTTTGTTTACTTAATCTCTACCCGTTTTTTTTGCGTTTCGCAACTATTTATGGTATTCGTTGCCCACTAAACATACTGCACTGCTTGCTATCTCCCTTCTGAACCACGCATAAAACATTAAAACAATCCGACCATTCCCTAGGACCAAGCCTCCCGCAAAAGTGATACCTCTCAAAACGATGCCATCACTGCCACCACTAGCGAAGTGAGCAGCGATCTCTCACAGACCTTCGCTTCCCGACTAAAATTGGCCGGTGCTGTGGCGACCAACGACAGTGGAGACGAGGAAGACGATGACGACGACGAGAAGTCGAGTGAGGTCTTCGGCAATGCCTCGACAACGTCTCCTCCGGGTGATGCTAAGGCATCGAGCACCACGACCACCACTGCTGCTGATGCTGCAACATCCACTGTTGTTCGGGTGATACTACCACCTGGAGGTCTGGTTGAACCCCCACCCCCTCGACTCTCGATGCCCCCGCCCAAGCCACTTCCTCCGCCTACATCTCGTTCTGCTGTTGTACCGGCGGCTGAGGAACTTGCTCGCATTGATGGTCATGTTCTCAAGGTGAAGTCCTTTGAATTGGCTTTTATTTCGTTTGATTATAATGTTTCGATGCCTTTCTTATTTCCTCTTCCATGTGTTTTAATTCAATGTGAATTTTTTCCGATTTCATAACTTGGCATAGTGATTGTTTTATCTTTACCTCATTTTTGTTTAAACGTCTCCAGAATTTCGATGCAGTTTACTTTCTTAAAATGCAATCTTAAAGGAGCTTACCTGTTCAGTGATTCCTAATCGGTCTCATATATTAGTAAAACAAGATAGTTTTTTAGGAGAAGCAGCAGATTACCGTCAATTCTGCAGTGTTTTCCAAAGTATTTGCCTTTGTTGCTTCCTGACCAACTTAAAGATTGGACATTACAACAGTAATCAGTCTGTCAGGCAATCAAGAGGGTTCGTTTGATTTTAGACAGCTTGCTGCAATAATTTATTGTAGCCTGCAGGGATTTGTATATACGTATATGAGCAGATGAATCGAAGGGATTCAATTCGCTCCGAAGCTGTGACTGCAGAAACTCCCTATAAAACTTGCATGGCAGTAGAGGAACGCTCTGACGATCAGAAATGTTTTCAGTTAAACACTTTGATCCTGTTAATAAACGTCCCAGAGATATGGATACGCTTCTCTCAGTAAAACTCCCCATTCTTAATCATGAAAGATGAAGGATTGTGTGTAGCACTGGATACGCTAAGATGCTGGGAGATTAGCATTTGGAGACTAACCAGTAATATTTTATTTGAATGTAATGAATAATTTACTTCGAAAGGGGCAAGTTGGGGTCATTACTGAGCAAATGAGTCCCAAATGTCAGGTCTTGACCGTTGGTAATAAACTTCAAAGAATATTCACCCTTTGCTTCTCGCTTCTTTGCCTAGTTTTATAAAAGAATCTCACCGGTTAGGCTTGTTGTTAATTGCTTTACTGAACTGCCTGTTCCCTCCTAGATGTTAAATGTGAACCCACTTCTCATAACGGACCTGGTCTCCCAGTTAACGAAGGATAGCAGTTCTGATGTCGTAATTGTTCGGTAGGTCAATGGCCGTTTTAATCGTTTATTCTCGAGTGTTCACCTTCGCTATGTAACCTTATTGTATAGTTGTGCCGAATAGACACTAAAACACGCTTTTAAAGTGAGGTTGGAAGCAATTCTGATAAATGGCAGCAAATAACAAAAGCTCGTAAGTGATGTGTTTTCTCTCTAGACGACTGTTTCGATGGGTGACGGCGAAGAACTTTGAACTGATCGAGTACGACCCCTCCGCACCGAGCGATTCCTTTGTAGGTATGCTCCGCAACGTTCAGATGGGTTCCCTGTCTAGGAATGAACTCTTTCATGAACTTTGTCGGTACGTCCGTCCATCGATGTCTCTACGTCCGTGCTTTCATGACTTAATAATGTATATGCATTTATTATTGTGTCCAGCTTTGCTGGGATCTACTGTCAGTACATATCGGGTTACTCCAAGGGCGCCGGCTATCGACCGGGTATGTCGCTTAAACAGGGTTCCCTCTTTCGCAACACTTGGTTGGCTGTCTATGCAGCAGGTGGCTGGCGATTTGTCAACTGCAATTGGGCTGCTCGTTATGCCACCTTAACATGGAACTCCTTCTCCCCTGAGTGTAAGTCCTTCCATCCCTGTCAGCAATGAATTGTCCGTCTTTTTATTTCGGCAGCTGCAGAGACGGCCCCCAAATGCGACGACTTTTACTTCTTTACCGACCCCGAGCAGCACATTTTTGAGCACTGGCCGGATAATAAGGTGTGGCAGCTGCTTCACGCCAAGCCAATATCTCAGGCCCGATTCGTTTCCCTGCCTGTCCTCAAATCGGCCTTCTTTAATGCGGGGCTTTCGCTCAAAAAGCCCTATTCTCAGCGCATTGTCACCAAGAATGGTCAGGTAGGTTGGGCTGGAAAAGCTTGTTGATGTTATTGGCTTTGGGATGCCGCTTTTTCGTACCTTTCATGTTATAGTTTTATAGCTTACTTTTGATTTTGAAAATCCGACTCATAATAACGCAGTAACCCCAGTTTTTGAAGCTTTTGTCTTTTGCTGAGGAAAACCTGATCCTTATCGCCTTTTTGCGCAGCTAAAATTTCGCAGTCGTGTTTCTTACGGCAGACATCCCAGTCAAACCGGAAGTTTTAGTTTACCAAAGAAACTGAGAGGTGTGTTTTCGATGCATTCCTCTCCTATATGTGTACGCTTATTCCAGGTTTAAAATAGTGCCCTTAAAGCTGCAATGTAGAAGGACCGATCAGGATGCTCAACTTATTACTAGAATAGGCTTAATCTGTTTCTAGTGCTTGCTCTGGTGCGTGGTTACCGTTCCTCTTACTATCCCAGGTTAGTATCAAACTTCGAATGCCCTACTTCGTTGGCATCTCCTGCAGCCTGGAGAACTTTGCTGATGGCAACTTTCTCAAGGGTCTCTGCCTGATCGAAGTACTCACAAAACCCCCAAATATGGTTCGTATCCAATGCGCGCCTTCACAACCGGGTCGGTATTACCTCAACATCTACGTCTTGCCTGACTGGCGGCAGGAGGATGTTCGGGAGTTGGCTTGCTCGTTTCAGGCAAGTCTGCACTTTGGCGCCTAAATCGGCCTTGACGACACTACACTCCGTGGTAGATCGGTAGCAGGCTCATTAGTCACCGCTCATAGATGTTGAAGGACTAGTGGCATGCGTATCGCATACCTCCTCCCCTTTCCTGAAGCTAAACCTTGGATCTATATCCTTCTTCATTTCTCCTCTTCTCCTCATCGTCTTCGTGATTTCAATTCTGTCAGGCGTGATCCTTCTGCATTACTAGCGAACATGCAGAGCCTTAGTTTGATGGAGTTCTTAAAAGTTGACGAACTTTTAACATTCCCCTTTAAGTCACTGTAAGTTTGTTCACTAGTAGCGAGTTCTTTTGCAGCGTTACAAGTCATACGGTTCTGAAGATGCGAGGCACCCTAATAAGTTCGTATGGCTTCGTGGGTAAGCCACGACCATCAACATCATTATCCATTATATTTCTGGAGGGTGGGAAAATCTTGAAAGTTTGTTTCGCTTCGAAAACCAAACCCATTTTTCTCTGCTTCTATTAAAGCTTTACTTCCGATTTGTCTAACCTATCGGGCATGTGGTTGTTTGGGGTCAAGAGGAGGCGGAACTGCATTGTCACTCCTTTGAGTGATTCATTACCGTAGTCAAATGGTTCACTTTCAACCGTTTCTGGACTGTGGGTTCTGCTACCGTATCTTCTCCAAATAATGCAAAAAACTTGCCGAGAAGCCTCTGCAGCTTTGAAACCGACCTAAACACAGCCCGTGAAACCATCTCGAACCACATCCACTAGCTTCAGTTGGCATTTGATGATATGGGGTTCAAAGGTGCTAGAAAAGTGATGCAGAGGACAAGAAGGTAGAGTTGTAAACAGCCATTGCGACGAGCTGTATCGAAAAGCGCACGAACTTTTGCTGGTTGCCTGGCAACTTCATTATAGATGCAGTGAGGGTCTGCGAAGCTTGTAGCCAAATTGAAAAAGGCTGAAGTAGCTCGGGTAGTCAACTGTTGCGTTGAGCGCTCCTTGGACTTGACTCAATTCACTACAGATAAATATTAAGGCCTTGCTTGGCTTCCTGGCTCATTGTAAGTTAAGCATTTGTTGCCACACACTATGTTGAGCTGATTTGCACTCTTGTTTTCTGTAGCATTTGAACAAATCTGCTTTATTACCCGTTTTCCTCCTGCTTTTGGCAATGTTTTTGGTACTTATAAACCTTGATATTGTCCTTGGGACGTATTTAATGTGATGAGCGGTATGCTATAGCATGCTATGTGGGCTTTGAGATGAAGTAGCTCTTGTTTTTTCGAATAGCTTGAGCAGGCTGTGTTCTTGAAGCCCACAATTTCTGTACCACGGTTTTTGCCCTACAGAATGCTGTTAAGGGTTTTTACGGACCAGTTTGTGATGCTTGTTCGAGGATTAGCAGCACGTTCGTTATGCTCATGTTCTTTTTGCTTGGTTTACCAGTTTTCACAACTCTTTACCCGATCATTTTTTTGTTTCTGAATCCCACGGGTCGTGCCAAGTGTCAATGACGTTAAACAGCGCTTACACTAGCTTCATTAGGTGATACGCCAGATTTGGCAATGTTCATTAAGGTATTGAGTTCCCCACCATTCTTTGCTGCTGTTGCGACTTCCCGTTAATGTAGCGTATTTCCCTTGCGAATTTACACCAAGCTCACTTAAATGCCTTCCCTCTTCTTTCCTATTAAATGCGGTTTAGCCATAATCGAGTTTGGCCTACACTAATCTCTGGATTAGTTAATTCGTCGAGTCAAAACCCTTGTGACCGTGCCATTTTGGCTACCGCTTGAACTTTTCCCTTCACCACTAAATCCCCAAAAAGAGCGCCTAATTCTAAGGCTCCAGGAGAACTTTTATGCGTAGATTCGCAACAGGTTGCTGATCAAATAAGTGTTTATTCTGGGGTTTCTGTTTCGTTTTTTTGATCTTATCTCTGCTTCAGTAAAGGTGTTGAGACCAAGCTTGCTTATCCTTCTTAAGCCTTCCGAACAAATCAGTGGTATATTCATTGGAGTTCTGAGTCACTTTTGATGCATCTGAGAGGTGAGCATCTTTTTCTCAAAATGGTTACGAAATTGCAAAACATTTGTGAAATGGTATGGTGGTTTTGTTGATGGTGCAAGAAATTGTTTGCGTTTTGTCTGGACTCCTCCTACGCTTGTGCACAGGTAGGGAACGCCTTTTTTTTCCAGTTTTGCTTCCTTCCAGCCATTTCAACTGGCTCTTTAAGCAATGAGGTGCGTTCATATTTGAGGCTTTTTATGTGGTTGCCTGACACTGTCATTGTTGACACACTTTTGCTACTTTGACGTCTGCGCATTCTCTTTCTGTTTCGCCCGTAACATAAGGTTAATTTGTTGAAAGAAGTATATTGTTAGTCTAGGAGGGCGTTGTGGGGCTTTATTATTCGCGTACGGAACGGCTGCCAGGCTGGTAGGATAGGTGGCATGCGCATAGATTTGAATAGCAGGAGGTGACAAGGGCCCGAGAAGTAGCTTACACAGTCTCTTTCCCCGTATGAGCGTTGTCATAGCACAGTATAACATAAATTATAGGCAAATGTAAAAAAAGAACTAAATTGTGTAAACTCGTTTGTCCTTGTTCTACTGAGGACTGGACACAATTAGCTTTTTCGCTTAAGATGTTCAGTTAAATACACCCTTTAAAGTAGCATCTCTGGGTGACACCCTACTCTTACTCCTTTTTTGCTTGTTATCAAATTACCCGTAGTTTTTATGTCGTAAAAAGGCATCACTTTGTATCGTGACTACGTAAGGCAATCCATTTTTTCAGTTCCTTTTTACAGTAAAAGCACATTTAGAAACCTTGTGATATTTTTGTTCTGCAAATAATCACCGATGCAGTGCATTTTTCTTTCCCAACGAGAAACAGGCTTGTTACTTCCGCTTTGCAAAAAGCTTTTTCCGTTGGAAGCAATGCAACTTGCATGATCGTTTAGGGGTGCAGCGATTCCTCAAATGCTTGGTGTAGAGCCAGTGAGGTGTTTGTTCGCGTAGCTAACATTGCCGTACACATCCTGTTCTTCATCACAAACCAGCCGGACTATAAGCAATCCTTTTTCAATGTTTCATTTCTGTAAGGCGGAAGAAGTAAGGAACACCAAACTACGGACAGCTTTTGGAACTTATTGTTGTCCGGAGCACATTTACTTAATACCTTCCACGGCCTTTCTTTTCCACCTGAGGTGGGTATAAAAATTACCGAAAGCTTTTCACAAAACGATGGCAAAATATCCTAGTTCTTCGGGTTTTTCTGAACCCGATACATCAGTCTTTGAATAATTTGTCACCTAAAGAAATGTTATTCATCCAAACCACTTCTAGGTGGTGTGCTATGTCACTGCGCAGTGAATTTGCTGTGAAATTTTTGGATTTTTGGAATGGTGTTAAGCGTGGTTTGTAAAGCAGCCAATCTTGGATCTCATGTAAGATTGTGGAGGGTATCGACAGACCAACTCCTGTCTATTACCGCCATGAGCTACATAAAAAACTGCATTATTTTACGCTATTTTTTTTATAACCCCAATTTCGAGTCTTTCAATTCTGGCCTTGCCTTTATGTTGCTTCCAAAAGTAGGTGAATTTTAAGCCTTTCTTTTCTTATGAGCCTTTGGGGACTTAATCATCACCATGTGTCTCTTGTCATTTTGGTTTGCAATCTATCATGCCTGTTGTTGTTAGGCTCCCGGGGTCGCCGACAGGATGTTAATACCGAACCCAAGTCGGGAAGTAGCCTGGTTATACGCAAACAGAAGAGCGTACTTAATCATACAGGAAAAACTGTTATAATTCTGTTACAGAGTAGCGCTTTGAAATTATCTTCGCTATCATTTTGTTTCTGCTCAGGTTCAGTGTTGCGAATTCAACTACTCCCGTTTGGTAGTCATGGGACGGCTGCCGGAGGTTGGTTTCCTGGGTCGGACCCCGGCTGCTCAACATTTCGGTGTCTCGTTGCTCAGAAGCAACAGCAACCGGCCTTACATCCTTCACACCTCCTCTGATCCTCTCAAGATACCCTTCTTCATCTCTTCTGGCTTGCGGGTGAGTCCGCAAAGATTGTTCACGTTGAAACGGAAGTTTTGGGTTTACAAAAGGTGGTGGAGAACGGATTTTAAGCAGGAGAAATGGGTTTATTTTACATTATGACCCTCCCCCACATTAATGCACTTATCATACTATTTAATACGCTCAGAATTTTGGCATAGAAACCACCCTAAATGACGAAATCTAATAGTCTGCATAAACCGGCCTTCTCATATTACAAATCTTCGTGAATCATTGTACTGTTTTCATCGTTATCACAGAAAAATTAGTCTCTAGTGCAATTTGGACGCACGACAGGTGGTTATGCACCAATTAGGCGTCCAGTTCGAGGCGTCCTACTCTCTGCATTGGATGTTTACAGAAATGACTAATTCCCCTAAGGTGGAAAGACAGGGGGAAAAGCAATTGACAAACGGGCAGGCAGGCAGATGTTTACCTCCCGGTCACACCATCAACGTTTTGTGCTGTGCTTGAAGTCGTTTGTGTAGACGAGTGGATAGTGGGGATTTGAGGTTTGACGTCTTCGTCTCCATTGGCACTCATAACCATTGGGGGCTAGTACTTTGATGATAGTGTATGCACTGGTCAACGACAGTTTGAGGTGGATATTACGTATCTTAGGGAGGTGGACTTGGTGTTTCTTACTATGTGCAGTAGTATCACGGCAGCATGCATTGGATTAATGTAAGCGTAAAATCAGAAGTACTTATTTGATTTGAACACTTTCTCTCTATCCCTGTTTGCTCACTAAGCTAATGTGTGTTTGTTTCTTTCGTCCAGTTGTGCCACCAACTTAAGTCCTTTGACCGTCCGGGTCACCGGATGACTGACTGTGACAACTACGCCCTTCTTCAAATGCGCTCCTCGACAAGCTTCGACTCAACACCTGCCATCACCACCTCGGCTACCACTGTGCTTAGTAGCACTTTGGGCTATTCAAGTGCAAATGCGCACTACCATCTGCGCCTGCCTGTTAATGCCTTCTACTACCTTACTGTATACGCTGCCTATGAGGACATTGGGACCATATCCACAGAGGCTAGCGATCATCTGGAGTGTGTCTACCGAATTCTTGTGGATGCACGAAGACCCACTGTGTCCAGTGGCTCAGGGTCTGTGCCTGCTTTCCCCAGACAAACGTACTGGTAACTCAAAGCTGCTTCTATATGCAAAATGTCTTCATTTAGTTGAGAAATGTTCAGCCTAGTGGAATAAGCCGAGTAATTGTATTCTTTTACTTGTCTATCAGTTGGTCCTAGGCTATGGATGCTTTGGAGTGTGTAAAACAATATATTGATACGAGCTTTCTTTTAAAAGGTGGGTGGGAGCCCGTCTGCTGGAGCCCACTCGTCTCAGTTTAGAGGTGAACAAGCGCCACCTCTTTCGCCTTGATGTGCCCATCAAGTATGCCTCTGTGGCCGTGGTAATCAACGCCTCAGAGTGGCACTTCCTCAAGTCTTCTCCCACCTCCTCTTCCTCCTCGGGCTGCGCGCGATGGTCGGGCAAGGTGGTGCCGCTAGTCACGGGCGAGTTGGCCGTCTACGCGTCCACCACGAAGGAGAGTGCTGCTTCCACCACAGAGTCTGCAGAAGGCGTACCCTACGTAAAACTCCTCGAGTATACCCTCTTCCAGTCCGCGCTGCAACAACCATCGCCAACCCCACAGCAACAATCTCAACAGCAGCCTTCACCGGGTTGCTGACACATCCCTTTGCCTTCGCGTTATCCAATCTCACTGGCTCGCCTCCTTGGTGCTTTGTTTCTTCTTGTTTCCTTCTCCTTACCGCGAAATATATGCTTGGTTTTGTCGTAGATGAGTCTTTTTTAACTAGAGTCTGTTTGCGCTTTTTCTAATCAGCGTGTTTTCCCCTCATTTTAGGCATGGAGTTCAAAATAAATGAGGAGTTTGCGAAACACTATAACAAATACCGTCAAAAGGAGGAATTCCAGAAACTGAAGTCTCGCTATGGTGATGTCAAACTCTTCAACGCCAAGAAAAAGACCGCCAATGGAGCAGAAAATGATGAAACTGACGATGATTCCTCGTCTTCTTCCTCTAGTGAGTCAGACTCCGAATGGGAGGCGCAAGAGCACGAAGACTTTTTGCGACTCTACGATGCCCTCTGTCGTGATGATCCAGCTTTGAATGACGAGGAAAAGGTGTGGTTCCGGGAGAAACCCGAAAGCTTAGAAAAACAGGCGAAGGAGAAGGACCAACCGGTATTACTTAAGGATCACGCGCGTAATCTCTTGCTCTCGGAGGAGAAGGACTCGAACAACAAAACGGAAAGTGGCTTTACCAAGAAACTACATGCTACAGATGCGCAAGCACAGAAGGAAGACTTTTTGGCGTAAGTTCTTTTGAAGACTTTGCGAGGCATAAAAGCCTCAAAGTAGGTTTATTGTGAACATGGATGGGATGGAAGACTGATAGTCTAAGTGGAGTGAGGATATCTCATTGTTGTTTAAACCTTCTTTTCTTAGAGAAACTGAGAGGCTCTTTAATGAAAGTAACGAAGAGGAGGAGATCTTCTCCAAGAAAGCATTAGATTCTCAAGTTGATGAGCCAAAAAAACCACCTATCGTGAGTCATGACTTAATCCTCTTTATTCGTTCATCATTCTGTTTTGCCACCTTCAAGCATGTAATTTTTGCTTTAGGACACTTCTCACTTCACGTTCCAAGTGCCAGAAGAGGATGCGGAGTTTCTTCGCGACTACCTCGTGAATAGACGCTGGAGGTCTACTGAAAAGAAGGCTGTTAAGAAGACACCGGAACCCAGTGTTGACGTAATGGCGGAGGTGATTCTTGCTGCAAAGCCACAAAAAGTTGTCGGTACTGATGAGCCCTTGTTGACAGGGCCAGAAGAATTGGAAGCAGATGATGAGTTCCTCGTCAAAGCTCGAAGATTTGAGAATGCATGGAATAATAATGACGAGGAACTGGTGCGTTTCACGGCAGCATAATCGTGCTTTCTTTGCTTCAAGTTATATTCATTTTTTCCCTATCTTATAGACAAAAGAATATCCCCAAACTTCAGCTACTCGCTACCGATTTGAAGAAGACGATAAGGAATTTGTAAGGGCTTCTCTATCCTCTTTATTTAAGCTAAGGTTGTGTTTTTCGGTATTCACAAAGTGATTCTCCCCTAGATTAAAACCTACCCGCGTAAAATAGAGACCACCCTGCGTCAGACCTCAAAGGGCATGACCCGAGCGGAGAAGCGAAAAGCTCGAGCCGAACGCAAGGCGGCGGAAAAGGCAGCTAAAATGGCGGACGTGGCGAGACTCAAGAGGCTGAAGATGGCCGAGTTTGCGGAGAAGCTGGAGCGTATACGCAAGACGTGCGGCGATGGAGTCGCTGTTGATGCATCAATGGCGGTGGACGTTGGAGAAAATGGAGACGTGCCTGTGAATGAGGTATGTCATTTTTAATTATGCAGATGTTTTTTTTTCGTGACTTTATAGTATGATTTGTATTTAAAAAAACTAGATTTTTCATCTTCAGTTAAGCTTTTGTCTGTAGAAGAGCTGCAAGTTTAGTTGGCATGTAAACTGGCAGGTCGGCGATTGGAGAGGGCTTGTGTATGCTAAATATTCAACGCTGTGCTAATTTTTTTTATAGAATAAGCACTGATATAAGAAGTAACATGGATTGGTATCACATCCCCAGATCGTAATTGCAAACCACCGATCATAGTGTTAGTGGTTTCGTTTTTTATCTTAACCGGTGTTTATCACTGGCCATCATTGTACAAAATACGAGATTGGGGTGGTTGCCAAAAGTTGGCATGGATTCGATAGTGTTTTGGCTTGGTATACACCCAGAAAAAAGTAGGAATATACTTATTTCCGGGTGAGTTTGGTAATCTCGTCATCAATGCAACTTCAGGAGCATCCCTAAAGACGCCATAAAGTGCACAAATCTGAGAGTAGCTTTATTATAAATGTGTAGGAAGGTGAGGCTAAAAGCATGGCTTCGTGGGAGACTAAAAAGACCTGAGCAGCCGTATACACACTTAAAGCAAGTATTCTGTGATCAGCTCCTTAAGGACTCCTAGTTGCTTAAATATTTCCTCGCTTCACTTATTGGTCCTGATGTAGAGCGCAAGATTTGGGTGAACGTCGAAAAAGGGAGTTAATTCTGACATATTTTTTGCAAATGCCTTCTCTCCGTGATGTTTTGACGTAGTTTTCGGGCAGTGACTTCAAGGTTGGTCTTCCTGAGTTATTTTTGATGACGTCACGGGGCGTCAAAGCCTGCAAATGCCCGGACAGAACATGTATTTGTAACGTAGAGAAGGGCTAAGGGGCAAATTGCATGGCTCGGAGGCCAGTCCGTCCGGTGGAGGTACATTGCTGGACCACCTAAGTAGCCCCTACACCAAAACCGAGATTTAAACAATTAAAGTATTACACAGCCCCTCTCCTCTTTTGAGCGTCGTCTCCGGTGCTTACCTTGATCAACCTCCAGCATAAGCCATCACGGTGTAATTGGTGCTGTAAGGGAAACCCCTACGAGCCAGTCGTGCATATCATATCGAATTTCCACGCAACTGAAACGATACTTGACCGCAACCTCACTGATCACTCTTTGCAATTCTAGTGGATCTGGAGTTTTGTCCTGTATGTGAACTGGATTCGGGGACGGGAAGCGTGATGACCATCACATGTGTCCGCTACTAGTCGTAGGAACACTGGCCTAGCTGCAGAGCCACGTAACAAGAGACGGGGTTTAACGTAGTTCCGTGGGTTTTGGGTTTCGCGTTCATTCCTCCTTGCCACTGTTTTTTTCACTTGGGTGCTGTCCAGCCATATCCATCTTGATTCTATCCAGCTAGTGGAGAAGGAAGAAGGCATCGAGTGTTCACATAATCGTCATCTTCATAGAGGACCGGTAGACAGGCCTGTATAAAACTTTTCCAAATGGTTCACAATCAGCTATTGTCGCTTCAGTTGTTAACGGCTTTCCTACAGAAAACGAGACTGCGGTATTTACCGAAGGTAGACGTTATTTTCAGGCCTTCTGTTATGAGTCGTCACAGCTTTTCCTTCCACGGCATATGCGCTTCTTCTGCCCTACTAAGGCTAATTCCTCAGCAGTAGAAGTTAGGATAGGTCTTTTAACATCGGTTTTGCCTTACATTGCCAATAATATAGCCCCCGATACTTCCCTGAAGACGAAAGAGAGCATGCCACTTGGGCCGATTACATATATCCGCCTTACGGTAGGCCTGAGAGGCTACTGGCATAGTTTGGAGGCGAAGGTACAGTTGCAGATAAACTGAGTGGCCCCTTTACCAAAACCGGGAGTTATACAAACAGCCAGTGTAGCAGTCAAACCGTGGACGATTGAATAGATCCATGTCGGTAAGAATGCAACGCAAGTATTCATCAGAATGGCGATCGACTTTCGTAGGAACGCCAGCATTAAAGCAACGTAACGGGTGTCGTATCGCCAGATCATTATATGAAGTTACTGTTTTATTTACTAATATTATAAATAATTCCTTAAAGGACATCTCCGTTTACTAAAACCACCCTTCGGGTCGACTCGATCTCAATGGCTCCTCTGTTGAAAGCCTTTGCAGATCTGTTTATTCACACGTAATCCGTGAAATTGAGCCTGCCTTTTTTTGGTATTGAGTCAGTCAGCACTACCAGCAGTGTTGTGTTTGCGTTTATCTCAGTAACATTAAAGGGCGTTCAAGTCTGGATACAGCTGTATTACAAGTGAGGTTAGAGACCACTATCCTAGCTTCACAGCACTGATGTGATAGTCGGATCACAAGTGACTCAAGAAGTCGGCTTGTGTATTCTCAAACTCAAATCAAACCTATATGTTGGTAATGAATCGGTATCAACGTTTATGTGTTCATCCGACACATTGAGGGCTTCTTTTTTATCACCACCCTCATAACTTCCACTGGTGCTACTACTCTCCGTTACGTGTAGGTGACTAAAGACGTGATCGATTCTCTGGACAATGACTGGGACCCCGAGGCACACGATCGTCTGGTTGCCAAGCTCTTCGGTAGCACTTACTATGGTGCTGAGACAACTGACGATGGTCTGGATGAGGCACCAAAATTTGAGTCGGATGACGAGGACAATCGATTTGGACTCGACGCTGGTGATTATGATGGCTATCTTCCGAGGCAGGTGAGGTGACTTTCAAATTCAACTAACTGTTAGCTTTCCCTATTGAAATTTGCTGTTGTCTGAATTCATGCCTTTAAATTGCATCAAACCCGCTCATTGTAATTGGAAAATTCGTCTGAAGCGAAATTGTGTGTTTGACGATCATGTTTGATTTTTCATGGGCTCAAACAACTGGCAAATGTTTTTTTCCGGTGAACATTTAATGCCGCATTTTACAACCGACTTCTTTTCAATAGCACAGATCTGTCGATCATAATGAGGAGGGCGCTGCTAGAGAATTCCCTGAAAAGCAGAAGAAAGAAGGAACCAACGAGGAAGTGGAAACATCAGCCCTGGCCAGAGCTGCGAAGGAGCTGGAGGCGATTCTGGCTCCAAGAAAACGCGGAAAAAAGGCACAGGGACGATCACTTCTTCGAAGTGCTCTAGATCGACAAAAGCCAATGTTTGATCCCAAGCTCTATCCCGACTTTGAAAAGTACTTCAACGAGTTCTACCAGTTGGACTGCGAGGACATCATCAATGGCTCAGGTCCGGGCGACGATGTGCACTGTCGCTTCAAGTACCGCCAAGTGAAGCCCAACGACTTCGGGCTGAGTGTGGAGGAGATTCTCGACGCAGATGAGAAGGAGTTGAATCGTTGGGTTTCTGTCAAAACCATGAGCGCCTATCGGTCAGTTTAGTTATTCTCATTTGAATGGCAGTCAAGTCAAACTGGAACTAGAGTTGTCAGCTATTTCTTTTGATACAGTCATATAAGTAGCAAATGTGTCCTATTACTACTTTTACTAGCCGTCGTGCATGTCGTTGTTCAGTTCACGCACCCCCAATTCAGGTGGTGGGCAACAGCGGTAGCTAGTGCGTGCATCCAACAACATGTGGTGATGAGCCAATCTTAATGTGAACTCGAGCCTGCCGAGATCTCCTTGCATCTACTGACGACTTCAGACTCAGTAATTGTATGCCCACCACTCAACTATGACATCTGGACATGGCCATGGGTCACAGCAGTCATTTATGTGAATATTCAACTCAACGTAGGCCGCTTGGTCGTCGGCTGGAGGTTCCAACCATCTTGATAGACTTTCCTATGCCAAGGCTTTGAAATTGTCTGGAGTACAAATTTAGCATTCTGTATTCTCATTAGACTTCACTCTTTTGTGAACACAATGTTCCCAATTTGATCTGAACAGTCGTTGTTATCCCTAAAAGTGTTGAGCACTTTTAAGTGACTAACATTGACGCATTTTTATTGTTATTTATTACAGAACAGAGGAGGAGGAAGAACGTGATTTGCGAAAATACCACTCCTCAAAGATGCTACGAAAGAAGGCTTCCCTTATTCCCTCTCTTGTGAATAAGCAACCCGGTCAGGATGGTGGTACGATAAAACAAACGGAAGGAGAGAAGGCGAAATCGGCGGATGATAAAGGGAAACAACTCTCAAAGTGAGTGACAGTGTTTTATTTTTCTACTTTACTACAGCGTTTTTCTCTATTTTCGATGTTTACTGGCTTTCTTTCCTTGGACTTGTGTCTCACAGAGAAAAATTTGGCTTGTAAGAAGTTTGTCAAAGTTTCACCTATTCTTTTTTTAAGTCTAAATTTCACCGGAATACTCATTGTTTTATTCTAGTATGATAATTTTTTAAAGAAATCGGTGATTTTTTGAGGTACGTGCTATTTAAATTACCCACTTCATTGCTCAAAAGCTTTGGCGTTCATTCATACGTCCTGCTGAGTTCTTGTAAGGCTTTTCCTGTTTTCCCGTCCCAGTAACTGAAATAATTACTTAGTGCGTACTATTCAGGTCACCTTACTGGACTGTAACCTCCTGAATAAATTATTTTGATTGAAAAGCGATTTATTAGTTAATTCTTAATCAAAGATGTATCCCTTTATCGAAAAATACCAGAATAGTGGTTTTCACCAACTTTGATCTCATCAGACTAAACCATGGTCGAAATTCATTGGAACCTAATTCGTAAGAACGTACTCGAAACACAAGAATCCAATTGTAGCGTCCTGAGTTTCCTTGAAGGTGCGAGAAGAATGTATGTTGAGGGCTGCTGGCATTGCCTGGCGGCCGGTCCACCCGGTGAGGTGCTGTGGTGGAACACCTAAGTGATCCCTTCACCAAAGCCGGGAGTTAAACAAGCAAACGATGTATTACCCAGCCCCCCTCCTTCTGAGCATCTGATCCGACGCTTCCCTCCCGTGTCAGCCATCATGACATGATCAGTGTTGTAAGGGAAGCACCTTCGAGCCAACTGCACCAGTCATCGAACTTTTATGCAACTGAGGAGATACTTGACCGCAATGTCACTGATCTCTCTAGGCAATTTTACTAGATCTAAAGGTTCTTTCGGTATGGGAACTGTATTGGGAAGGGGGGAATGCGCTGGTCATCACGCATGTCTGTCACTAGTATCATCGGCCTAAAAGGAGTCAACAAAGGGCGGGATCTAACGTAGTTCCGTGGGTGTAGGTTTTCGTTTTTATTCCTCCCTGCCACTTTGTTTTCACTTCATTGCTACGCAGGCATATCCGTCAGGGTTTTAGTCAGCTAGTAGAGAGGTGGAGGAGGTATCGCGTGTTCACTTCATTGACGCCTTCACACGGAAGCAGCAGACAGCTCCCTAAGGAACTTTTTTAGATAATTACCTTTCATGGCTAGTATCCATTTAGTTGTTAGCAGATCTTCTGCAGACCACAGGATTGAGGTAGTTGTCGAAGGTAGACTTTAGGCAGTCGTCACTGATTCTCCCACTCACAGCATTCGCGCTTCTTCCACCCCGCTAAGGTTTACCACCCAGCGATAGATCGAGTTCGCTTTTCGCTGCCACCAATACTGCACCCCAAGACATCCGTGAGGATGAAAAGCGGCACTGGCTTGGCCGGAAGCCCAGCCCACCTGGTAAAGGTATAATGGCGCAGCACCTAAGTGACCCCTTTACCAAAACCGAGAGTTGCACAAACAACCATTGCATTACGATTTCTTCTTGATTCACTTTCCCATTGGCATTTTGAAATCCCTTTTAAACTATCATTATCTCATCCCTACTTGTTCTTTTTTTCAAAAAACCATGTTTTTCGGAGGATTTTAGATTAACGGACCCTTCTATTTCCATCTATTTTCACAAGTACTTGTCAGAGTTATGGATTAAAATGTTTATGCAGGCAAACCAAATTGTTTCAAATTGTTTTCAATGGTAAAAGTTAAATTACTGTTTACTCGTCCAGACAATCGTCATTGTTTGCTAAAACGCCTTTTCCAAAAGCAGGAAAATTATTCTCAGCCATCTCCGATTCTGCTATCCCGCCTTGAACTCTTCTGGCTGTCTAAACTACTTGCAATGCAATTTTCCGTGACATGGAAGGACGATCATCATTACTTCGAAAAATGTGGTCAGGGGACCCTAGTCCGGACGAGACCGAGGTTAAGGCAGTCGCATCTCGTGGCATAAGGCTTCCTCACATTTAGGTTTCATAATGGCACGAAATAAAATGTCTTATACTGTCTTGTAAACGTAAAAAGATGACTTTATCTCAACTGACACACTAACCCTGGGTGTTTCCAAGACAGTGTATCCCCCACACCCACGAGGAGATGGATCGCAACTGTGATTGGTTGGCCTTCAACTAGCGATACATGGCGAACAATTGCTTCTTGCATTCCACTGCACTCAAACTATCCGTAGACTTCTGGTAGTTGACATGCTGCACGCCTTAGAAATGTACGTTGTAGTGAATGGACCAATTTCACCAGCAATATGTGAAAGGCTTTGAGATATAAAACCTTTTTTTCTGCTCCCACGTCTGTCGGTCAGCGGTCTTTTCCTATCAGAATGTTAGCTTACTTGAAAGAAATAGAGGGCAATAAATTGATGGTCTTTGAGGTTTATCACCACTTGTTAGTGATTGGCATGTGAATTGCATTTGTTCAGCACTGCCAACGTCCTCACCTGATTTGTATTTCTTTCGTATCACACAAGCTGTAAATTGCTGAAGGTTCGTAGATACTTTATCCTCTGGCTCGCATTTCCTAACCCATTTCACAGTGGTACTCTCATAGCTACCGAACTTTCTCCAAATGTCTGTAACCTGGAATAAAGCAGGAAAAGTAATCACTTTGTCCAACCCGGGCAACCTCTGTACGACCATCATATCTATCTGTAATCGCTGAAATTTTCCTTACAAGGTATCTTTGAAACATGTCTCTTCATCGTGCCTATAACTTAATCACTAAGACTCATTCTTGACCGTTCTCGTGCTTATGGGTTTTCAGCACCGGACACACGCCGTGTCCGACGCAATCGCTTCAGACTTCACCGTTGTAGAGCATGCCAGATATCGAATGTCTCCTTATGACTAGCATCTCTTCTCTTCTGTATTTACCATCAGGCACTTTCAAAACTTCCAGATCCGTACCACATGCAGGTGTTGAATGTTGGATTGCCTTGGAGGCGATAAATGAAATCATTATAATTAATGCTGTTTAAAATTTGCTATCCGTCGAATTGATGAGTACCGTAAATTTTACGGCAAATTACCGTATTTTTTGCACCTCAGGAAAGCCTTGAAACGCCTTCGGAAGAAGCAACGCAAAGCAGAACTCCTCTCCGCGGTGGCTGCAGCTGAGGGCACCATCAAACAGGCTGATGATAAACCCACGTTGAATAATGCCACCAAACTTGTTGAAGAGAAGGCGAAGGAGTCTCGTCCAACGAAAAAGCGAAAGCTCAAATCTAATGCGCCAGCCGAGAAGAAGCCGAAGAAACCGCATCATCAAAGGCCGCCCTCGAAGAAGCCAAAACTCTCGGACGATCGTTTGAGAGCGGCCGGCATTGACCCCAAACAGTACAAATACATGACCTTTAATAGGAAGAAGTAGAGATTGTTCATCTGTACAGTAATTTGTGTATTTTATAACCAAAGGGATTTGATACAATCATTGTTTCATAACTTATTCCCGTTGAATCGTCCAGGAAACTTTGTGATTTATAGGTGATGGGGAAGTTTACTGTCCTTGGAGAAAAAAATTGTGAATTTTTTTGTTGTATCCAAATGTCTACTGCCCGGTGGTTCTAATTACTAACTAGAATTCCGAAGTGCTTGAATTGTGGTAGCGCAGTACCCACTTCAAGCATCTTGACTTCGATTCAGCGGAACCGACTGGTCTTTCAGTCCTTCTGGGTGCTTAACTAAATCCATCAGGTAATAAAAAAAATTTGTCCTGTGTTTGATATAGCTTGTTGTAATAACTTGTGGAGGCTTGTATGGATAGATGTTGGCATTCTGTTGGTGCAGTATCCCTCCCTGTGGTCTCGACTACTGTTCTGTTTATTTCGAATCTTCATATCATCCTATCTTTGCTAATTCCATGGAATATGATTGGAGTTTGTCTACTTTACGAACCAGGTTTAACTCGGTTTCTATGCTGTGGAAACTTTGTAATGCCTTCATTAATCGGTTTCGGTTTAAAGGGCGCTTAAGGCTCCACGGTGGTACTTTGTTCCAGCAGCATCCCCTCCAAGGCCTCTTAGGTATAATTGTCTTTTTTTGTCTTCCGCAAAGTTTCTGATCACAACATTGGTAGCAGCGGAAAGCGAACTTGATCCTGAAGGACAAGTACCTTGATAAACCTTAGTGGGACCAAAGAAGTGCATATGCTGCGGATAGGAGAATTTGTGTTGACCTTTCGCAGAGGGGTTAAAAATGACGTTTACTGTCGGTAACTATCCCAGTCTCGTGATCTGAAGCGACACTAGCTGTGGAAGTGAACCATCTGAAAAAGTTTGTTAAGGGAGTTGTCCACGATGCCTGTACAAAGATGGCAACTATGTGAACACGCGATGCCTCCTTGACTTCTCCATTGGCTGGATCGAACTCAGATAGATGGATGGCTGGACAGCACTGAAGTTAGAACAAAGTGGCAAGGAGAATTCTACACGAAATTCTACCCCAAGGAAGCATATAAAAACCCCGTCCTTTGTTATGTGAATCTACTGTTTGGCCAGTATTCCTACGACCAGCGATGGGCATACATGCTGGACAACACCTTCCCTCTCTCCCCCAATGCAGTTCCCATCGAGGGCGAAACTCCGGATCCAGTAGAATTCCCACGAGGGATCACTGACGTTGTGGCTAGATATCCTCTCGGTTTCACCCGAATTCGATGACTAGCGCGGCTGGTTGATTCGTGGATGTTTCTCTTACACCACCAACGCGGCAGGTTGACCAAGGGAAGCAACGCGGACGATGCTCATTGGGAGGAGGAGACTACCTAGCACCTTGATTATTTGTTTAACCCCTCGTTTTAGTTTTAAGGTCAATTAAGCCTCCGCGATGGAGAATAACGAGTCCAATAGTGTTTGACGAGAATGCTGGAACACATCGTTTACACCTACATCAAGTGGAAAAGGACAGTAGCGACTACCGCGTAACCATGTCCCGTATTCCAAGCACCAAAAGGTGACAATCACCTTCACACCCTCTTTGTTCTCATTTCCTTTCGACTACCGTTCAGTTTGAAAAAGCTCGTTTGTTGACTGACTAAATTGTCATCAGAAATGGGTTTGTCTACTTCTGAAGCACCACTTTACTTCCTGATAGCTCGGTTTCTGCGGTGGATTGTAGATGGAGTTGCCCACTGTGGATTTTTTTATAATTAAAGTCTGACGGTTACATCGGAGGCTTATCTACTCGACAAGATTCAGAGGTGTGCAAGGGACGCTTCTTCAGAAACACCTGGGGCTAATGACAAATCAAACCTTGAATGTTAAAAGACCTCACATGTGAAATTTGGGATAGAAGGGAGGCATAACCTTATCCCCTGGACCATATTCCCTCTCTCTCCCTGATGGCAAGGAGACTATCAGATCTGTTTCTCGTCTTGCTTCCAAAGATAAAGTGTTGGATAAAAGTGAAAAAGGGCTTAGAGGTGGTAATTATGACGACTTCAAGAAGTAAAGAATGTGAAAACTTCTGTAAGAAACTGTTTTGTTATTTTATGCTTCTTGGATTCAGATATTTTATTATCCCCTTAGGGGCAACTGGAGTGCCATAGTGATGGAAACGTGTTTGGATTCGCTTAATGCTTTTCATCCCCTCTGAGGAATGCGACAAATTCGCCAATGCTCAAAAGTTGGGTCACATTTAAAAGAATTATTTTTGGCAAGGAAAAGAAGTAAAATTCGAGCATCTCAGACTTATTAGTAGTGCAAAGGAAAGGAGGAACAATGCCAAGACCGCACGTAAATTATCAACTCTACGGTTTGGTTTTTCCTTGCCGAAGGGTTCCATTGAATTCCATAGTCTGCTGTCATTCAACAGTTTTGTAACACTTTAATTGGTTATGTTTCAGTGTTGGTAGCGGACCAATTAGGAGACCCGACGTTGTACCTCTGGCGGGCTTCCAAGCCTTTGGACCGTGCCGGTAGCCCCAAGACCTGCAATACGTCAACATTTGGCAACTGCTTCAGTTTAGTGGTCTACAGGAAAGCTGCCAACAGCTGAAGCAACACCTGCTGTGAACCACTCGGAAAAGTTCCTTACGAACGTATCCACGGTACCTGCATGAAGACGCCAACTAAGTGGACTCGTATTGCCTCCTCCTCCTCCTCCTCCATCTCTCCACTAACGGAATAGAACCAAAGTAGATACATGGCTGGACAGGACCGAAGTGAGAACAATGTGGCAGGGAAGAACAGACGCGAAACCCTACCGGTATGGAACTATGTTAAACCACATCTTTTGCTAGGCCAGTGTTCCTCCGACTAGTGATGAACATGTGTGATGATCCGTACGTTCCCTCGACCACCCCCCAACACAGTTCCCATACAGCACAAAATTCCAGATCCAGTGAAATTGTCAAGAGGGATCGGTGACATTGTGATTGGCAAAGGGCGGCCTGGCCTCTGCGTCATGCCAGTAGTCCTGAAGCCCTTTTGTCCGTCGACAATGCATATTCAACCCGAGTACTGTGCCTTCTTTTGTCTTGAGAAAAGTCTCCGGATGCTACATTACCTCGTAGTGATCAACGCCAAAAGGCTTGTCATGATACTTGCTGCAGCCTTGATGATGCCATCCATGCCTTTCGGTCCTCCAGCTGTGGTGCACATTAGTAAAAAGCAGCCACCTTTGACCTCCAATGCAACCTTCTCAGAAAGCAGAGCAATACCAGTGGACAATGGGTATTTTGAATAAATCGGGGAATTCAATAATTTCTAAAACCCAAATCAGATGGAAGTGGCTTTCCAATGTTGAAGCTGCCTGTGAGTTGTTAAAACTAATGATTTGCATATGACAGGACAAAACAATACGACATTTAAAAGTTGGATAGATTTCAGATATAAATTAAAATCTTATATCACAATTCATGGAAAGGATATCTATCTGTAAAAAGGAATGTGGTTTTTGTACAGCGGCATCAGCATAACCTTTCAAAAGCTTAGCAGCCCCTCTTGGACATTCAGAATTTGGGATTTACCAATTCCTCTGGGAAAAAATAATAGAAAGTCGAGTTGGAACAACTGGAACTGGGGGTAAACAAGCTATTGTGGATCATCCAGCCTCTAAGACGACTAAAATACCGATCCTTAGTGATCAGAAAGACAATATCATGCTACGAAAATCAGTTTTCATTATTTAGGCAATGAATTTTTCATTGTTTCGTCTTCACCACCGGCTCGCTTTCTTGGTCATGTAAAGGGCCACTTAATGGGTGCCAACCAATGATGACGATCAGGGGGAGGGATCAAGTTAATAACCTCTCTCTCCCTCTCACGAAATGCAATCGTGACAAGCGCGAAACCCCTCGGCAAGGACACATTCCCTTACACAATCATCAAATGGAGGAGTTGGTAGCAAATCCTCTCATTTTTTGATAACGGACCTCGTTGGGCTCCGCTACCGTACCTCCGCCAAGTGTCCTGGCCTCCGGACCATGTTAGTAGACTCCAAGTCCTTCTGTGCGTTGACAATGCACATCCTTTCCAAGCTTTATACTCCTTTCGTCTTCAGAGAGGTCTCGGGGCGCTAAAGTAGGGGAACTGCTATAAAAGCCGGTATTTGTGTCTTTTTTAAGCCAAGCGATTTAGAGCTGCGAAATGCCTACAAAGAGGAGATAGGGAGGTAAACACATAAAGTTCTAGCAACCTGTATAGACAATTAATGCATTTTTGACGCAGCTACATTTCAACGACTTGTAGGTTCTTATCCCCTACCCTTGGCCCTTTGGCTCATCTCTGGGGGATAACAGGCGTCTTGAAATACCCTAATCCACTTTATATACCTCTCAAAGTTAACTGACAACCATCTAGGTATGGAGATGGCAATATGATGGTGTTAGCCTACGAGACACAAATGAGAATTATCACCTCGCAAGAATGAAAAATATATTGACCTATTAACAAAAATATTCAGAATCTCTCAGCACATGCACATACATACATATACATGTATAAAAAAGCACAGAAGCATGAAGTAAATACACATACATACATACATGCGGTAAATGTGTGCATTATTTACTGCCAAATGCAAATGAAGGCGAGTTCACAGATTCAATGTGCAAGGTCGTTTGACTTGTCGGGAGGAGCGACGTAGGGACGGAGGATGGGGACGTTTGAAGACGTTTACTACCCGACTTTTCATTTCGCCGACGTCATCATCGTTCTCGTCTCCGCTGTCATCATCATTAACATCCCCAGTCTCCATAAAAAGGCAAGGACTTCCCAAATAGAGAGCACCACGCGTGTTGATAGCTGCAGCCTTTAGAGTAGCTATTGCACGCTTCTCCGACCAGCCTGGAGACGAGTTCTCTGAGAGGTAGAACTTAGCCCACCTCAGACCCATCATCACTTCCCATGATAAAGCGTCCCTTGCCAACGTCTCATCCTACAGCAAAATGATTAAAGAGGATTAAACCAACCCTCGGTGTTGATCATTAAGAAAAAACGTACCTCCGGAGATTTGGTGGTTTCACAAGAATGTGTCAACTCTGGCAAAACATGAATAGCTGCTCCATCTGACAGGAGTCTCCACCAATCCTCCGTGATGTAAAAGTCTGCCTTGGTGATTTCCACTTCTGGTTTTTTTGCATCACTGAAGTGAATGGCCATACCGATATCTGTGAGTGCGGGCTCTGCAGACCTGGCCTCCATGTAAGGCGCATTCCATGGGGCGTTGGCCACAGCCAAAGGCGACAAACGGTTTATTGAACTGGCAATGTACCTCTCGTAGCCATTCTTACTGGCCTTGAGACATTTTACCAAATGAGAGTGCACCAATTGAGTCAGAGACGCGTCATTGTCTGCCCAGTAACTGTCGATACTTTTGGAAAGAATGTGGGTTTGAATTATGCCCACGCTGTCTGGAGATTCCTAGCAAAGGATCAAACCGAAATGCATAACCTATATATTCGAACCGGTAATCGAAAAAAAAGTGGGATACTCATAAAACATACGCAAGATAGGTCTCTAAAGTTATGACAAAAACCGCGCATCGAGCGGTCCTCTGGGATGAATGCAAATAAAGACGGGGCTTTGTTGTCCTCTGGAAATGCGTCAAGATCAACTCCGTAACCCTCCATAAACAAAGAATCGGGTTCCATCGCCCGGCTAAGGAGTGGACGCCACCAAGGCGATGGATAGACGAGAGTCACTGATATGCAAAGCGGTTTTTCTGTCATTTCTCTGGGGTAGCATCTTGTCTGACCGGAGGGAATACGGAAGTGATGCGGCAAGTATATCGACAAAACGTCATTGTCCGCCTTCAGAGGGTGCGATTTAAGCGCCTCCTCTACTGGATCATCACAAAATATTATTTTGAGGGCTGAGCTGGGAAGGGTTACGATAACCTAAGCAAAAATAAAATGTCATACTAGCAAGTCCTAAGTAGGTGAAAAGCCTTGAAGGTAAAGTAAGGACATACGGAGGCGACCAGCTGAAGTTCAGTGCCATTCTGACGCAGGATGTACAGACCACCGTGCGGACCGATGTGTTGAAAAACAACACTGCACACCCTATTCTCCTCGGGACTGGAGGGAATAAGTCGGCTGACAAGCACTTTATGGGCATTGAGTCCAGCAAATGTAAGGGGACTATAGTTATCACTGAGGAGGTGTAAGGCGTGTAAGTAAAAAGGATCCGACCTCGATAACAAGGAATGCAGTGAAGTGGGTGACATGTCACAAAGAGAGATAGGCGATGGGGTATCTTCATTGCCGTAAAGAAGCAAGCGCTCGATCAGCCGTTCCTCTATACATGCAAGAAAGTACTCGCACAATTGGGAGTCATTCTACACATAGAAAAAGAATAATAGCGTAATACATAAATATTATTCTTTCTAGCAACTTAAAGCGTGTTTAAATATACCTGGAAAGCTTCCTGTTCTGGTAGTCCTCCCAACATGCTACAACGCAAGACATCAAACATATCTGAAGGGTAAACAAAAAAGTGACGTTAAGCTCAAAGGTTCCAATAACTTTGGGAGATGTTATTGTCCAATGATACCTTGCACAGTCCTTAAGCTGACAGTCTCAGTTTCAAGTGTCTTTTTGGTCATTATGGCAAGGAAGAACTTGTAGGCGCTTCTTTGAACGCGGTTGAACACGTCCTCAACGACAACCACCAGCCTCTCACCCCTTGGGTTAAATATGGTTGGCGGCAATTCGGCTACACTTGGCAGATGTAACTGCAAAAGCAATGAAGAAGGTGATGAGGTCAGAGGAGTAATCGGGGCTAGTTAATCAAGCAGTTTTTTGCATGACAGAAACTAACTTGATGTGCAAGCACCATCACGTCATTGTTAATTGGATCAACCACGTGGTTTCCAATGCTGTGATTCAAGAAGGTAATTTGATTCTAAGTCCAGAAAAAAAGGTACTCTTCAACTCAAGCATTGGTGGCACTGAAGGTACTGCAAATTCTTACTTGTTCAATCCCGTCCGACCGAAATGTAAACTGGGATTCAGCAAATACATTAGAAATGTAGACATTTTCAAGTGTTAGGAATTCAGCTACATCGGGCACATTTGTGGAATGCATTCGATGCAGTTCAAAGCTGTTTTTCAGTTGACAGTGTAAGACTGCCGACTTTAAATCCATGGGTCCAATGACCACACTCCATCGTAGATTCGGACAATTGGGCTGAAATTACCATTAATTTAAAATAATTTGATTTCGAAACTGAATGTACTCAGAAGTAAGTTGTTTAAAATACCTATTTAAAGTACAGTAAATAGCTATGTATCTTAATTTCCACCGATTATGAGTAGGCTTCAATGCGGAAATGGAAACCACTTCGTTGACTAACAAAATATATGAATCTAAGTCAAAGACCTGATTTAAATTAAATAGAGTCCAATTTCGAGAAAATAAATATCTAAGAAGAAATAATGGCGTACAGGATTGCACTTGGCACAGAGCCCAAAGTTGATGAGGCCTCGATGGGTCAGGTGCTCAAGAAAAAAGGGAAGCCACTCATCGACGATTATGATGCGTATTAGTCCCCTGATGAGAAGGGATCTTGCTGCGCTTTCGGCAGTGACCATTCGCTTTAAAGGCAAGAAATATTACCATAACAGACTCTACCCACTTTCAAGTGCACTCAACTTAACATAAAACGTACAAATTTTTTGTGATTCCAGAGATATATCACAGTGTTTCTTATGGCCCGATATAACGATGGGTACCTTTAATGTATAGTGGTTGAATTAGCTTATAAAACCCCCACGACCGGTTAGTATTATTAATTAATGCTTACCGTGTCATGAAGGGGAATAAAGAATTCTCCCACTTAAAAATTTCAATGGGCGACCAGGCTCCAGCAGGAATCGGAAACTCACTTGGTCCACAAAATGGTTTCCGATACTCCGGATAGTCTGAAAGAAGATAGAAAACGTTCTTATGCCTTTTATTTATTAAAACTCCATGAATTTATCTACCACCCTTCGATAAGAACAGGATTTTACGGAGGAAATTATAAAACACCAAAACTTGCATACAGAAGTTAAGGAAAAAGTTGGGATCGGAATACCAGGATGCAACCAAAAAAATACTGCCTGTGATTTTAAGCGTTAGTTTACAAATCTGACTCTATTAAATACTTCATAAAATTATAAAAGAACATTATTAAATACTCATAAAACGCGGGAGACAACATATTCTAACCACTTTGAAAGGAGATGGACCGATAAATGTCAAAAAAATTCCCTTAAATTGTCGACTTACTCAATGACCAGTCACTACACTTGGCGTGATCGATAAGGGATCCTATAGCAGGAGGTTCTATTCCCAGCAAAACAGGCGAATACTGAGGACAGAGGAAGATTAGCTGACTCTCGTGCACTAGACCTGGCATTTGCATGCTGGCTTGGAAGTTAACGCGGTTATTTATAACCAGAGAAACTCGCTAAAACGAAGGCAAAAGAGTAGTGTGGATGACTTGACAACGACAGAATTTAAGAAATTCGAAAGAAGTATCCATGTGTTCACAGAAAGAGCTCAGAAAGGTGAGTCAGGATTACATGTCAAGTGGCAAAAACTTCTAGGCAAGCATTTTCAAGCCAAAAAAGTGGTAAAAAATTCTAAAACTGGGAAACAATGTGGAATCGGGCGTATATGACGCTAGTGATTATATAATACACAGCGTGCGAACGTACCTGATCTTCTGGTTGAGAACACGGATCACCTTTGAGCTAAAACGACAAAGTTGGTCAGAAAACTATTCATCTTGCAAATAGCACATCAACGGTTTCTATACATACGCTTGAAATCAATGAACACTTAAATTTCCGTCCAAAGATCGCTGGATTCGTAGCATTACCAATTGATACGTGCCTCCAACGTCCACACTTTTTACATTTAATCCACCAGGGCAAAATGTTGTTGGTTATAAAGTCATATATTGAGATTTTCGTCTCTCCATAGGGAAGAGACCAGTCTTTAAAACTATCGACCCATTCTCTGAAACGCCGGTACCACGCATCCTGGTTTACCGTTAGGCAGCTTGAAGTCGTGCTAACAGCTTAGGTATCAAATGAAAGTTACTTTATATAATCGAAAAACCGCCTGCAATTATGACATATATGTTCACCAAATGAATGATGCGTCCAAACGCCTCTGCCTCTATTTCGGTCGCATCTGATGACGTGGCAGAAAATGCAAACATCTTACTTATTATCAACTCCAGCAAAACATATGGGATATACTTCTGTGCAGTACGCACTCCCACATTTAACTTGAGGAGATATTGTTGAAAGTTCGATGCCGCTGATATTCATCTTTGATCAACGAAGCCAAGCAGGCAATTCCGCCCGCCCATATAAGCTAACCAATCAAAAGAATAGAGATGTAATTGGTTAGAAAAAGGTCACCGAAGGGTTGGAAGATGTGAATATTATGCCTAAATTTATCCTTATTATTCAAAGAAAAAACTTGATTATTCTGCTGTGTACCACCAAATGTAAGGCAACGCTACATATTTAATGATAACAGCCCAGTTTATAGACAACAAGGATATAAGAATATTCTTCAGAATTACAGTAAGCTAAAATGCTATTTTTTGCTCCGTATTCATCAAAAGTGTCATAAAACTGTATTTGGCCTGTATTTTAGGGTTTAGGGAGCGGTTGTACTGCTGCATAATAACCAAAGGCAATATTATCTTGCCTTTGTATAATAAACTTTATGACCTGAAATTCCAATTATGAATGCATGGCGAAATAAGCAAATTATTGTCTCTCATTCTCACCCTAATGCTAGGCAGTGCATGGTTTGATTGTGGTACTTTTTACAAATCTATGACATTTTAATATGATAGGAAATTAGACATCTGCTGTTCATGGCCAAAAGTTAGTAAGGGTCTTAGTTCCCTTAGATCATTCGCTTATTGTCACCCTGGCGTCAAGATATGCTCTAAACTAATTAGGACTTGTTTTGCTATATCAGAAAAAACGGGACAACCTCGGGTATCACTTTCATGGCGGTTTCCCACTAAATGAAATCGACTAAATGCAAACTAGTTTCTTTCCGGTCCGCAATTTGAACTTATTGCCATATTGCCAGTTTCCATTGCAAACTGCATTACCAATGGCAACCGTTTCGGCATATTAGATAACCAATCAGAAAGTCAAGATTCGAAATCGACAGCCTCTCCAGGAGTGAGCAACCCTCCAAGGTCAGTTTAAAGGTAATCACTTAATTTTAACTAAAAACATGGTTCAGGTTTCGTTGATATTACAAGCTTTATAAAATAGGGCCTATCCATTTTAACAATAACACAATCAGAGCCTCCTTTTAATTGGGTATTCGCTGCTGAAAAACAGTATTCGGAAACGAAATTTAAATGTATATTCCGTCCATATTTGTACGTATTTTTGATGAAAGAAAACTGACATTAAACACAAAACTGACTTTAAAGTTGCTGGATATTATTGTCTATGGAGCAACAGTTTTGCGATATAGCAACAAACTTTGCGAAATCTTGACAGCCTTCCGAACGTAAAAACACGTTTTTCACTGTTTCTAGACCGAGGATAATTTCGATACATTCTCATTTACCATCATATACTCAACCATTTTAGTGCACACTGAGTGTGTGTTTAAGACCATTTATTTTATTCTTTTTGCAAAAGTAACGAACTTCACACCGGCGGCTTGTAGACCGACTTATCGTGTGAGACAACCAAGGTGTGAGTAAAGTAATTTTCCATGAGTTATTCACAGCTGATTCTCCCACATTTTGGCCAACGATATCAGTCGCTGAAAACGCAAAAGCATAGGCAAAGAAAGCGATTCCAGCAGAAAGGTTTAGGTTAAAACTGCAGGCCCGAACGCCTCGTTTAGACGCAACAATGACTAAGCCTGACTGGGTTGGCTGAGTCAGCAAGCCAAACACGCCTCGCTTGCTGGTGCGACTCGTTTCCTGATAGCTCAGGGATGTAGCTTGTTGTTTGTGCCTCAACTGACTCAAGCCTCATTTTGTCGTTTAGATGATGGAGGGCCAATTCGTGGTGTAGCGATATAAACGTGCTGGCTCTTCAATCTTGCAGGGTTCTACCACCGTCTCGGGATTGTGATCCATATTAACCTCCCCCCTTTCACCTTTAGAATGATACAAATCGGTACACTGGCAGCAGCCATGAGTGAATCCTATCTGCAAGGACAAAAATCTAGATTTTGTAGGCTAGTTAACGTGCCTAAGCCGTAAAGAAGGAAAACATCTGCCGTGGATAGCTGATTCGGTGTAAGCTCATAAGCTCTGCCTCCCGATTCATCAAAATTTACTGCAGGACTCGATATGGTTAAGGCAGTGGGGTGACTGTTAGCAGTGCTGGACTCGACGCTCTGGTGATCCAGCGTCCATACCTATGGCTTTGTCTACCACGTCAGGATGACGTATGATGGTCCCAAGGTCTACTCGAGGTGTAACAAACTTAGACATAGCTCTTTGTTTAAATGTGTTCAACTGCGTGGCCGATTTGCTATCCGCAGGTTGTGCCTTGGCTCCGCAGCATAAACTTTTGGCCATGCCAAGAGCCTGCCGCTTCTCCTGTACGTTGGTAATGTATTTTTCAGCGAGCTACTTTGGCTTATAACTACCGCGGAGAAGATTCAGAGCAACTGTCTTCTTTTATGTGACTGTATGTTACATCTTAGTATCACAGAAGGTAGGCATCTCCTGCAGATGGCTTGATCTGGTTTACCAATCGCGTCCACCTTTCCCAACACTGGGCTCGGACGACTTGACAACTGGAGGCGGAGCCGTTTACAGTACCGATATGAAAGGTGTGATCTACGTGAAGAGACCATATCTCCTTTACGTGTCTGCTGGCTGAATTTGTGGAATCCAGACAGAGGTACAGCCAGATGGGTGAACAGTATGGAGAAATGGGGGTCAATTGTCAAGAGGTATGAAACAAGAGGCAAAGCGATTGGTTCCGTGAAACAACTCCTATCTCCTTGTGGATTAAGTGATCCTGGATTTGGGCCATTGGACGGTTGGCATACGAACGGCCCAAGTTGTGGTGCGTGGTCTAGACGTGGGTCTGGGCCTGTGTCTGCGCCTGTGTCCGACCTCGAGGCTGCATTTGTCCTAGTCATTACACGTCACAAATGGGACGTAGCCGCAGGTGGAGAGAGTGGAAGTGGAGAGATGCCTTTTTACATGCAAGAAGCTGGAATGACCGGCGCTGCTGTTTTGCGGGTGCTTCTCAAAGCACCGACTTCTTCGTGGTAGTCAAGGCAGAAGATGAGCAAGGGATCAACGCTGAAGAGAATGGGGGAGAAAAGAGAGAGGCTGGGTTAGAAAATTGACATTTTGTTTAAGTGTGTGTTGAACTACGAGGGCATTCCAGTCTCTAGAGTTTCCCCCCTAATCTGCGGCAAAGCCTACGGATCGCAGTAACAGTCGCAGGGCCCTTCAGGCGAGGCTCGACGCGCCACAATACCATGGCACGAATCTCACCAAAACCATGCGCAGTAATTTACTGCAAAAGTCCGACGTATTATAGGAAAAATATGCCGATCTTCACACACCCGACGACCAAGAGAAGTGGGCTTAACATTTACCTGCAAATCAGCCTATAGAAAAGGGATCCATGCTAAAATGAGGAAATGTCAAATGGCCCTAGTAAAGTATTTGCTTCCGCAAAAAAACGGCCCTCGTAAATGCTCGTTTGTTTTTCGGCTTTTTTTTCTACCCAAATTCTGACCAGAGTCTGGTCCCTCACCAATTTCGCGGGGAAATGATAAACCGGGAAGTGGCCATATTAAGCATTGCCGTTAATTAATTCGTTTGAATAGGGATAGAGATATACTATACAAGCCTATTAATGCCCGTTGCTGGGATGTCAGCGAATAGCCTATCACCACAATCGTCAACGTGACAACGACTGCCATAAATTTTCTTCAAATAATTCGATCACTCCTTGGAAAAACCCAAACATGTAATTATCCCCAAACTAGAAACGTCCAACATGCAATTTATTCGCTATTTTCGCCTCATCGAGGCATCGCACCTGTGGGAGGGTGGTAGCGAACTCGTTGTGAAACCAAGACAGGTAGTAAACCAAACTGCTTGTTTGATTTATTAGCCAGGATGAATATGTCCCCAAAAAAGAGCTGTGAAAAATCACGAACCAATGGCAATATAGAAAAATATATTTTTGAAAATTCTTTCTGAGAATTTTCACATCTCTTATCGCATAAACTTCATTAGGCCACAAACCTACCAGTGGGGCTAAGGGAAACCGCTTTACTGTCGCATTTTGACGCTCGGTGCCAGCGCTCTTGTAGGCTTTTTTAACACTCAAATTACTTTACGAAAACTATTTTACAAATTCCTTACCTATTTTTACTCTCCTCTTTCACTCTTGCTGTCTCGCTGCAGTGCTATACGAAACCGACTCCGTCACAGAAGGAAGGTGTCTACTGGAGATGGTCCAATCTGCATCACCTGCAGTTCTCCAACTGCTGGAAGGTCATATCTGGCCATGAGGAATGCATGCGCTGAGGAGTACTGGCCAATCCTTAAGCACTTTATCTCCTTCCCCACCCCAAATGAAGCCTCCTCGATGCAGTCCACTTCGCAATGGGCACGACATTCAACAGCCTTGATTATATCGACTGATTTAGCTATCGGCATAAAATTGATGGGATTCTCTTTTTTAAGAAAACCTGATGTATCACCTTTGTTCTTCCCTTCGCTTGATAACAAAAAAAAGGCTTCCGATGTCTGATGGAGGAGTGCCAAATGACGACGCTCTGAGATTAGCAGTTTCGGTCACCGTCTTTTTTACTATTGCACATCGTTTATGTCTATAGCCGTACAGCCTTTTCGAATGTCAAGAACTAACCTCCTTCCCTACTGGTATGGCTCAATGGGCCACTAGAGATAAAAGTGTTACAACGGCACACTGGTAGTAAGTCTGATGAACGGCCGAATCGGATGGATGAGAAACCTATCATGGAATGATAAACAAAGCAAGATGTAAATCACACTTACAAGGTGTGGTGGCTATCACAATAATCATGGCGGCAATTAGTGTGTACTTGTTTGAGACAAAAAACCAGTGCAGTGACGTTATACCTGGCGAACGAAACACCACCAATGTGCCAGACTGAAAACGTGCACACTAGAGCGATATTGCCACAGCAGCAATTTCTAGCAACGTAGATCTTGATTTTGCTGTTGAACGAACATTTGCGTCTAATTGAAACCTTCGATTCTCCGCTCGGCTAAAATAAGGTGCTACCTCGGTGGTATTGCACACAGAGGTAGATGTACTCTCTTTCAATTCTCAATATCATGTGCAGACAATATCTCAGAGCGGAGGCATGAAATAACACGATAGAGGGTGTGAAATTTCACAATTCAAGTATCTGCTCGTATCTACAGAAGGCTACAAGCATAGGCGCTTGGTAGTATGACATCTGTGAGCGTTTCAAAGGCGGTTACACATCTGGTAGTGACTATACCGGCTACAGTGGCTCTTAAGCCATGTTTAGCGTTGTGGATATTCTGTGTGATAAATGTACGAGTGACGAATGGTTTTGTGGGAACTGCGACCCTCTGTACAGTCATTTAAGGCCACGAACATCTGTAATCTGGGGAAGATAGCAAGGCTTTCTTCCAGGTTGCTTCGGGTGTACTGCAGATCTTTTCGTGGAAAGACTAAAACCACGAATACTTGGTATCAAGGCGGTATTTGTGACAAAGAGGCATTTGCATGTTATACAAAATAAACTGGTACTTAGAATACACGGGGACGGAGGGAGACAAAGGGGCAATAATGGCATTGATGGCGGTCGTATTGAGATATGGAAATGCACATCGGGATAAGAGAGGGAGTGGGAGAGAGGAGCTCGAGGACCAAAGATTGAGTAAGTGAATAGCGCTAAAAGCATTACTTATTTAGAAAATTCTTATCCACTGTACACAGCACTTCGAGAGATCAGAAATGAAATGGAGCAGAAAAAAGTACATACAATGCACAAACAGCGGCGTTTGCAAGGTGGGGGGGGGGGGGGGTAAGGGACCGAGAATATAACCAAAATAGTAGACTACGGCACGACGAACAGCACTGTGCTTTGGAGGTGAACTGGCTGAACGTTTGATTTTTGTGCGAATGTGCTACAAAAAAGACAGTTTTTTCTTTTAGATCCTCTAAATACCATAATAGTGAAGCCGATTAGGAGTATTTTGAGAAATTCGTTCTGTGTACGTTCATAGCGTTCTTTAGCGCATTTTGACTGGTCAATTTTAACCAATAAAAATGCCCACCTTCAAGCATGATGTAATGCTGGAACGGGAGCTACACAAAGATGAATACAAAATGCTTTAGAATTCTTCTTTCTGCATTTAAAGTAGGATGGGAAGTGAGATTCTCTCTTACTTTAAATAAGTGCAGCTGTGCACGCACAAGTGGGCTTAGCGGAGGTGCATAAATTATCCGAAAAATCACAAATGCCAAGACTTAAGTTCCGTGAGAAACTTAGTGCGAAATAAATACAATTTTATCTACATTAATGACTATCCAAAGGATGATCTGCCTCCTAGGCGAATCGGAAATTTTCGCCATACACAGACACCGCCGTGAGAGAAAGGCTAAAATAACCAAATCGCGGTTGTGCACAGTCACATGACGCAGTGAGAGGAGTCAACGCTACATCTTCTCACAGATTTCTGGTGAACTTTTATGGGCCATTTCGTTTTTTGTACTTTACAAGTGCGGAAGTAAAGTGACAACTGATCAAGGTCTTGTCCGGTAGCATTCATGTTCCATTCTTTGAAGGGGCCAAGTTGACACGGATGTTAGGTAATCATTAACCTTGTTGCTATAACAGTGCCACTTTCGTCCTTGGAAAGGCTGAATGGTAGCCAATAACTAAGAGGTCATTGCTGTAATTAAAGGCACCCGTGCTTAAAGAGGAATTGGGAAGAAAAAGAAGCTAATAAGGCCATTTTAATAGCGCTTGCACATCTAAACTTGAATTCATTGTTGGCAACTCAGAAAAGTAGATGTGCAAGCAAGATTTGGATTTAAAAGGCCATGACAAGGAGTAATGTCAATCTTTGGATGTACCTCAAGTGATCTGGGCATCTTCGGATTTATTTGTTTATTCTAAGTGAGCCTGTAAGTACAAGGTGGTACCTGTAAATGCCAGAAACATAACTTGGGCACAGTAAATATTGCGAACATAATAAAGTAGTCATGCATAAACAGCTGAAGGTGGCGTGGAGATCAGGCTAAACCATCTTAACCGCATAAAGTGTCCTTATACAGGTGCGAGTGTAACAGGCCAATTGGGAGCCCCACCATTGTACCCCTTCGGGTAAGCTGATCTTCGAGCCATGCCAGTAACTCCCCTCCCCTCCCTCAGCCCTTCTGCGAGTCGACATATAGGGAAGTCTCGGGCGCTCTAGGGGACAAATTTCATGCCTCTACATCACTAGAAGGAATGTAAAGGGGGTCTAGAACAACTAATAAAATTGCCATTCATAAACGAAATGTGCGGCAACTTGAGAATGAGGAGTTGAATCAATTAAGCTATCTTCAACAGGCTATCCTACACTCATAGAAAACCTGATTCCTAGAAGGATAATTAATAACAGAGAAGAAAGAAACTCCGAGGTAAAAGTAAGAGGTATATGCTGCATTGCTGGAACAGTGCAGTCATTAGCGAACCGGAAAGTAGTACAATAAACATCCGGTGCGTAGCATTCATTTAAATAATGACTTCAAGGAAACACCGCTTCACCTTGAATAGTACAACGACCTTTTGACAAACAACGCTATGGGCTTTCGGTGGGCATAATGGAATCGAGTTTTTTCCGACCTTGCAATATCAAAAAGAAAAGTAACATTCTTTGAAAAGGAAAAAGGAAATCCGATAGATAAGGGTAGAGCAATTTATAATTAACCTCCAGCCCATACTTCCCAAATCTTTGCCTCGACGATTCGCATGGCCTAAAGTCAAAGTAATACTGAGTTTTGTGGCTTTGGAAATCGCGGAGGCCGCATGGGTACCGCACACGGTGGTAAGAGCCAAGCGTGTCCAGGCTAAGTAGTTGGCTAGTCCACGTTCTAATAACCAAGACGGCAGACGGCAAAGTGTGCAAGAAACAACATGTCAAAGAAGCCGTCAAACTCCAAACCACAGATACCTACACGTATCTGCAGGTGTAAACGTCTCGTAGACAGTCACATGTCTGGCCAAGTGGGTTTTTAGCCAGTACACGGAATGTCCACCTGGTTCTAGAAGCCTGCTGAGAATTTGCAAGCGAAAAGCGCTCCTCCGAGGACGGCGAACATGACTACTTACTTAAGTAACCTCAAAATTCTTGATATCATTAATCGCCTTCTGTAGTCAAGGCGCTTCCTACTTTTCCAACTACACGCTTAAAAGTTGTCATGAGGTACGGGAAAAGCAGTACGCGAGAATCCGAGAATCCCTTCAGCAAACAAAGAAGTGCATTCAGGCTGCGACCAACTGTTAGAACTTAATCTAACGCTAGCTCTTGTCTTCCATCCGGAAGGTATATTACAAGTTTACTTGGTGCTTTGTTAGTAGTGCTGCATCATTTCTACTTTAGACTATCCCAACACTACCTCCAGACAGTACCATCGCTACTCCGCCCACCTCTACGTGGATGAATAGGACCTATTGTATGGCGGTGAAAAGTTTGGGTTTGGGTTTTTAAAGGCCTGTCAAAAGCGTTGAAATTAAAATGCATCATCGCTGTTTCATTTGGGTCTCTCAAAAATGGAGATAGGAATATGCGCTTGCTTACTTGGAGAGTTTCACCGACCACTGACATTTTCGTACTTAGAGTTTCACGTCCATGATGCTCTGGCAATTACCAGGTTCGGTAAGCTAGCAAACACATGATAGGTGAATCAGTTAAACTCCAGCTCAAAAATAACAGAACATGGTACAAAGGTTTAGGGGATACTTAAGGTTACGTTCTCTCAAGATGGACAAATAGCGCCTTAAGTATATTTTTCAGTGATGTTACCAGTGCAATGAGACATGCGACTGTACTAACTAGGCGGAATGTCGTCTTTAAAGGAAGGATTTGAGTTTTCTACAACCGCTTCAACGAAGCAAGACATTGGGCACTCAAGTAAACAGGAGATACAACCTCGAAGTGAATAGAATAGATAAAATATATTATTTCAGAATATTAAATGTAACTCTTATAGAGTTTACTCTTTCTGTCTGGGACAGTGAATAATTCCCTTTCCCGCCTGCCTACGCACCTATTGGTATGCAATTTATAAAATCTTTTAATAGAAGATTGCACGAGGGGCGGACGGACGGACGGACGGAAGGAGTGCCAAATGACGAGGGTTTATGCATGTGCAGACATGGTGCACCGAGAATTCGGTATTTCGACCGCTTCTAATTCCTCGCTGTGCCTTTCCTAAGGTATCTTATTTTCAGACGTCTAAATTTCCCTTCTGGGCTAAAAGTAGACCACGACTGTAGAATTATTCACAAACATACGGATTTCTAATTTATGTACTCATTTGTGGATGAAGGAATAGTGTATGGAGGTCATCTTTCTTTCTACTTTTGAGCCACGGATAAGCACTTCCATAAGGTCCACTAAAGTATTTTTTTTGGCTTTTGAGAACCGGTGACACGGAGCTGTGGACACCCTATGGCTGCCAGATCTCAACTTCTATGTCATGCAAAATTCCAATCTCGTAAACCCTACGTGTTCAGGACTAGCTGGAAGGTTGCACTATTGCCTGACTCAGGAACAATCCTGAATTACTGGCCGTACACTATGCCACGACATCGGGGAAGAAAATTTCCTGACGTAGATAGCTGGATCTAATTGAAATGGGGGCGGACATTTGAGGGACACCGCATAATTTTGACCTCTATACAATGGCCACTAATAGAAGCAGAGTAGGCGCTAGATCTGGAGCCAATCCGTTCCCAAGACGGCCCAGACCATTGTATTCTAGCAGGTACCATTCTTCCAACGGTGCTGATTAATCACATTTCATCGATCCTGACTTATGCCACCGCAGAAATTGGGAGGGACGATGTTCAAACACAGAAGGTTATGCGGCAAAGTATACTTGGTTGTTCATTTCTTCAAGTTGCATACCGTAATCCTCAGGCCGTGCCTAGAGCCATTCTTCTTAACGGTCCCATGCTGAGACTCGAAGAAGGAAGGAGCTATTGGTATGTCTGACGTGATACCTTATTCCGCGTAAATAGAAGCTGAAGAATTGCTCAATTAAGGTACCGAAGATCGTTGACATGCCAATGAAAGAAGCCCTTTGGCTCTATCTTAGTTTGGTTCTCTTAGTAATCACGTGGCCTTTGTGCGTCTAGCACATGCGAAAGCACAAGCAATGATGAATGAATAGACCTACTTTGCCCCCAACACACAGAGGACAAGGAGTGAGTCAGAGGCCGGGGTTAGAGGCGCACCCACCTTTCCATCTATGCGACGGACAACGGAGTTGTTAAATGTTCCCATTGCATGACTGCCTTCACTCAGGCGCTCGCTCTCTCACCCTTTTCTACACAGAAGCCACCCGGTATGCCATTTAGTGTGGAATTACATGCACGCTACACACATGACGCAAACGGGTAACTAGAATCGTTTTCGGCCTTGAAAAGAAACCCCACAACAGTCGGACACTCATATCCCCTCCAGATGGCGATATACGCAGAAAAATTAGCCATTTTCCGGTGAATACGAAGTGAGTGTGAGAGCCTTGTGTTCGTGCAAACCCAAGAAGTGGCCGGAGTGTACTTGGGTGACAAATCAGGCCTCTCGCTCTCTAGTAAAATTCGGTAATAAATAAACCCAACGCTGGCAGTTTTTCACCTTCATTAAACACGTGGAACAGAAAATATGCAGGATTTGCAGTGCCAGAAAATTGTTAAGAAACTGGTAGAGGAAACAATGAAAGAAGGCTTGTAATCGGTTTAAACTGACTTACTTAGCATTCAGCTTAACTTCAGATAGCGGAGAATGTTATGGAGTTAAGTACAGTGTCTGTCCAAGTTCCTCAGTCCCCTCCCCTAGCCCCTTAATTGCAATCCCTTTTCTCTCATCAGTATGAAGCCCTATTAGAGCCTACAGAGGTGACACGGAACGGCACAGTAGAAAATCAAGTTAGCGGAGAACAGCACAACCAGATTATGGTTGATTAGATAGCTAAATTAATGTTAAGGGTAACCGTTATTTCAAGGCTTGGGGTAACGAAATCCCCCTCCCCCCGCTACCATTACCAGCTGCGCAAAATAGACGAGCATAATTTTATTTGCTAAGGTGGACCTCTCTTTCCCCCCGGCATTGCCAGATTTTTGACGCCTCGCCAAATAGGGTTCAATAATTAAATTTGATTCCACTTCGCGCTGCGCTGGCCGATTTGGGTGCTCCAAAGCGAGGTACATTTTAATTCAGACACACCAGTCAAGGCTGCAAAAAAGCTGTACCAACAGCTAACACACACGAAAGGGTTGCGGTTGACTAAATTAGCGCTAAATAGATGAGAGGCAGCAAACTGCAGGAGGCTGAACTAGTTATAAAGGGGTTTCATTTTGACTCATCATTCTGACTTGTAGTAATCACCGATTCCCGCACGGTGTTCATAGCACCACCACCGCCGCCGCCGTGGGATAGTTCACACCATCGCCCACACGAATGCCTAGTCAGGTTTTTTGGCATCGCACTCCCTGTCGAGTCAACAGTATGCGATATCAAACTCACATGCTTCTACCCTTGAAAACAGTCGTTTGTTTGTCTAACTTTTCAATTCTGTCGAAATTGAATGTGAATATGTGTTTTGCATGCAACAGAGCCCCTCCTCAACTGAAGGAAGGCGAAGACATGCATGTGCGGCCGCCGCCGGAAGACGGGCAATTGACACAGATGGCATTACAGGAGTGGGAAAACGATGATGATTTTATCGTCAATAACTTGCCTTAATGGATTTAAATGAAGACGATTTCTCAAATAAATCGAAGAAATTAAAATAAATAGATACGGAATTTGCGTAGGATTTGATGGAAACAAGGTGTTCATTATTACAGTCACAAAATAACCAAGTCTGGGAAAGGCAAAATACGTAGGCAGAACAGTTGTTCCACCAAGAAATTGCACTAAAACACTGTCACATTCTTTATCAATGCATAAATAATTTCATGTTTTGAAGTGTGGTACCGCGGAAAACAAGCTCCACCCCGAGAAACAAGTAGAGTCTATTTAGAGGCGCTCCTTAAAGTTGACCAAAATTGGATTTATACGACAAAAAAACAACTAACGATTCAACAAAAAGCATTAAAAAACCACCTATTTATTCATTACTTTTTTGTCTCATCTTGGATAGCTTAAGACATCCAGTTGGTGAAATGAATGAATACAAAAAGGGAGCTTCAACGTAGTCAAAGAAATCTCGGACTGATAAAACACTGGCATTTTCAAGGGCTAAACACTATGGTTACCCGGTGACATAAAAGCGTAAAGAAAAAGAATTTAAAAAAGAAATAAACACATTTACTCACCGTGGGCTGTGAAGAGGCTGAGTGCGCGGTTAGTGCGACAGGAGATCGCTACTGAACCATCTTGAAGGTGCCATCGTGCGACCGCTTGTAGGAAGGTGTGCCTGGAAGCCTGAATCCAACACTTGTCGGCAAGGGAGGCAGACCAGGATCCCCATTCATGAGAAGGATATCACCGTTCTCCACAGAAGACTTATGTCGTGGTACCATGTTGAGAAAGTCTGGTATAGAGGCTCGGTAGCCTGGAGGTGGTAATTCGGTCGAATATGCACTTCCACGTAGATGCGAATAAGCCAGACCGGAGAAAGGTGGTCGGAAAGAGTATTGACTACGCGTTTCACTCAGAAGGTTTGAACATGAGTTCTGTAATGGTGTCCCATAGAACCACGTGCCACCGTTACTCAGAGAGGCTCGATGCAGTTCCTCACAGGAAGCAGTTCCGCAGATGATGTGCTTCAAGGAGGTAGCAGAGTATCGACGTTGGAAGGTATTGCGTTCCTCCCTTTGTTTCTTTGCTCTAACTCGTCGTCGAATTATTAGTGCGACAATGAGACAAATTAAGAGGACTGTGAGTACAGTGCACCAGATTATTACTGACAACAAAAGGGGCTTCATACGAGTACTCCCTTCCGCCGCGCGTAGGCCACTTTCTTCAACCTCTTCCAGCTCAACCTTCCAACCGTTCGATGCATTTACACTTACTATGTAATCGTCAAAAGAGCCATTTTTTGGACAGCCCAGAGCTTTGCTCAAAGTTGGACAATTGTCCATGTACACCATAGTAAGAGAATCCAGTGTTCCTCCAGATCTGACCGATTCGTGCAATGGAAATGTTAGTATTGCGGACTTTTCAATGGGTTTTTCTCCAACACACTTGTGACACCTAACCTCCACGTTTACTTCTATAGGCATACTGGGATCCTGTGGTTGTAGACGAAGAAAGGTTGGAATATCTACATTTCCTCTGATATCATTAGGCAGTTTAGGGAGTCGATCACTGTCAAGAGTTAGTGACGCAATTTTCGAGTGCTTCATAAGTGTGTCTGGGTGAATAGTGCCCACTTGAAGGACTTCCAAATTGGTTAGAACACCTTCAAGTCCAGCAAAAGAAGTTGTAGTGAGCTCAAGGATGTTCATGTTGAGGAAAATATTTAATGTTCCCTCTGAATTCAATTTGGTGAGGTCTTTCAACCCTTCTGGAAGTATTCTTCGTATACTGCTACGATTGCCGATTATTATTCTGTCATTTAGCAAGTCTTTTTGGCAAGGAACTTGTGTCTTGAAATTTACATGTGGAATTGCAGAACAAAGGAGCTCCTGATCTGCAGAAAGGGAACAGGTGAATGGACATTCCTCGGAGTTGGGAGATTGGGCGAGCGCTGCTGCCAACACCGTACTCAGTAGGGAAATTAGGCTCATAAATGGCCTCATCCAGACTTGCCCTTGATAATTAGGGCGCAAAAGTCACGGTGACTCTACCTTAAAGCTCTTAAATTGACATTATTACAGCCATGGTCTCCGAATCAGCTGTACAGTTGCCCGCAGGCTCACCGATTGGTGGAATTCTCCTGTCTGCACGATGATTGGTCATAATGGAAGCCAATGAATGAACTGTAAACCACCTTGGCGTTGAGGTTCACAATGCTTGTGAAGGTACTACGAAACTGAGATGTTTGGCGTCAAATTGGACCTTGAACTATTAAGTAAATGCTCAAATTGGCGATAATAAAATGAGGTTCTGTATTTCTTTTGCATCATGATGAGTTGCAGGGTTTAATCTTGTGGATAACCATTTACAGTAACCATCATCAATTTCGGAAAGTATTTAAAAGTGCTTTTATCTGCGAATTCAGGAATGCTTTTTTAGGCATAAGAGCTAATTGATTTCCGCAGCTTAAATACTTGGTTATCACTAGCTTTCCAGCTCGTTTGCCTTTCACTGACAAGTGCGTCGCATACATGCAACGTGGGGAGCGCAGGTGTAAATATGAGGTGTCACAAATGTTCGTGATGCTGGTAGTAACCTTGGCAGCGGGTATACAATGGAAGAGATTAACATCCGGACCCAAAAGTAAAAATAAGAATAATTCTTTTTAGCACCGTGCCTCAGTAATCACCCAAATAAACGTGCAAAACAATAAAGTCCGCAATTTGTTTTGATGTTCGTTAATGCCGCCGATCTGGATTATGGATCACCAAATTCCCCATTTTATGCCAACAATATATACAAAGATTGGGGCTCTTTACAATAAACACTGAAATGTTTTAAACTACTTTCTGGACCTGTTTTCGCATTTCTAGGATTCTCAATCTACTAGGATAAAAGTGAGGAATTAGGAATTCGTTTTCTTCCCACGTCACAATCCGGCCAAAAGTACTCCATCCATCCATTAATTATGCAGGCTATGAAAAGCATGTATTACAGCCTAAGATGTGAGCTGTTTTTTGTTTTTATGGTGATGTGACAAACTTTGGGCCGGTTTTTAGGGCAAGAATTCACTTTCAACCCTAAGGGAAATGCACAACTAATCGCTCAATGTAAATCGGCTCGAAAAGTCAAAAGAAGGAAAGGAGGACGCTAAAAAAATTTAGGGAGTTTAGTTTTTATTAATTGACCTGAAGAATGGAGTTTAGCAGTTGACTGCGATAACTTGGGTGCGAAGTTTGAAGAATGCATCTAAAATCTCTCCAATTTCATTTTTTTAATCACCTACATCCACAAAATAGCATTGGAGGGCTCGGAATCACACTTTAAACTTCTTCAAAGATGGACACGGAAACTCCTGCATCTCGAATAAAGAAGCATTTTCTCCATGAAAATGATTGTTTTTGTTTCAGCAAGTTCCACATTTCCAGTCCACCGCAATACGCGAGTAACCTTTAGTTTAATTCGCATTAAGCCTATTTACTTCCGGGTGTAAACAAATGCCGAGCCTGCATGACTTGAACATTTGAATTGACGAAGAAACCGAATGGCTAATATTTGGAACACTTTGACCAGAAATGAGAGTCTTTATGCTTGTGTCGCGTATTGCGTTATCCGACCCTGTCACCGACGCGGCTCCTGATTAGCGAATCGCATTTACTCTCAATTTTTACATTGTTTACATTACATCTTGGAGAGATGTTGGCACAAGTCATGGAAGCCAAGTTGCACATGAAAAGGTATAAATAGTTCAGATGTTATCTTCCACTGTAATTGTAGTTGATGAAGTTAGCCAGACGTTGAGATGTCAATGCAATTTGCTCATTTCCCAATCTTGGAAGGTTTTACTGGAATCGTAGACTTTCCAGACAATGGTGAAAACTTCCCTTTTGCCTAATTGGACGTACATATCGAATGTACAAATGAACCGAAAGAGGCCAGTCTCCTTGGGAGTTCTACTTCTAGACAAACGGATTACCTCTGCCCAAGCTGATGTCTACCTCTAGACCAGACTGTGTCAAAAGTAGAGTGACTATGGCATTCAAGCAAACAAAAATAATGAATTTTGACACTTGGGTTAGCCCCTCTAGATCAACCACTGACTTTGTCTTTTCCGTTGGACATAGAAAGACTGTTTGATGCCTGTCTGGGAGTAATTAAAATTTTCGGCACAAGTTAGAGCGAAGAAGCAGAGAGAGGAACGCAATACCTTCCAGCATCGATACTGCGCCACCTTTTTGAAGCACATTTGTGAGAAACTGCAGCGAGTCTCTCTGAGCAACGGTGGAAAGGGGGTCTATGGAATATCCGCACAGAACTCATATTCAGTACTCCTTCTGACCACATCTACCGCCAGATAATAAAGTCTCTCTACCAAACTCTCTCAACATAGTGCTACGAAATGGGCCGTCTGCGGAGAATCCTGACATCCTCCTCATGAACGGGGGTCTGGTCTGCTTCCCTTGCCGACAAGTGTTAGGTTTAGGGTGTCAGGCGTGATCGCATCACCTAACTTAGTTGAGACCCTCCCATCTGATAAAGCAAGTATTTTCGGGCTCACGAAGAAAGCGTTTGACGACGCGATACATACACGTACATATGGAGACGGGGCGATAAAACCTCGCCAGTGGATGATCAGTGAATTGCTCCCTCCGTCAATGCTTACCACAATAGGTTATAACAGGCTTATTGTATCTGCGTTCTTCTAAGAGGAGGATGTGTGAAAACTAAACCAACTTTAGACACCAAATGATCTACTTACGTCACATCAAATTTCCTGACTAAAGACAGCAAACATTAATGTCTCAACTATTAAAAGGACGCACAAAGTGGCCTCAAAATCACTTAGGGATGGGACTAGACTTCCAGGTGGATCAAATTTTGACTGGTGAAGGACCAAATTTACACATGATCGTGAGGTCGGTAACTCACCTGCAGAAGAAACGTAACTAATGGAGCGAGTTCTTACGGTGAAAGTAAGACCGTATGAGTAAGAGCGCTAGGCAAAATCGACTGAGTCTTAAAATAACATGTCTATTTACATAGCCGAGGCTCATCACTTGGTAAAGTCTCTCAATCGTAAAACACCAATTTTTAGCCTCTCCTCATGGTAAGTTTTGCCTCCGTTGACCTACCTCAACCTCCAGAAGGCGTATCAGGTACGCCACACCTTTGCTCGATTTAACCCATCTTCTCAGGGTTTGAATGGTGTGATGAAATGACTTTTTAGTAAAGCAGAAGGGGAGATAATAGGGTAAGTGGAGTACTAACGTGACACCTTGAGGTCTTCACCCACTCATGAATCACATAACGGTGAAATCATATGTGCAGCAGTAAATACGGTCTCTAGAGTAACATTTTTGCAACTGCTCAATTTAATGCAGGCTCTTTTTACCAGTTCTGGGTCGTTATTAAGTAACAAAACCTCTCAGTGCCCCCAATGCTTGTCGGTGCTGCCTGATCTCATGCTGACTAATTTTTGCCTAGCAATGAGTCACTTATGTTTTGCAGTCTGGAGGGTCTCGTATTATAACATCTCTCGTGTAATCCTACACTTTGTTATTCGTCCAAATGAGTGGAATGCCACCGGGTTACAAAACCTTCACTCTTGAGGGTGTTTTCGACAGCGCCAATCAGCATTCAACTAGGCTTGGAAATAAGTTGACAGCAAATTGTGTCAAGGTGGTCTGAAGAAATGCCAGAAGCTAATGGCCTAACATGCCGAAATTCTCCTCTCCTTACCTCCCCCCACCCTAATAGCAAAATATGGGTCCATTTGGTTTGAGGGAGACTTTTACTTCCAAGTAGAACCTCAATTTGGAATTGGGGAGCTATGCCTCCATTAGACCAATAAAAAAATGCTTGTGTAGATGCAAAAAATTTCTTTTTAATCCTGTATTTCAATCCGTTTATTTTCTAGCCCTACAAAGGTGGCCAACTGATTGAGGCCAACATCAAGACCGGTTTGATTTGTGGCAAATGGAGACTCTTGACCTGACAACTGAAGCCTCTGCTTTTCTGGTAACGAGAGTTGATACGTCTATGCGCATCATTTTGACAGTGTCAGTGTACTTTGGATGATGGGGGGTTATTACTTTATTTTCAGACGTCAATTTCGTGGCTTGTCTGCGATTTTGTGAGGTAAAAAGTGTGCTAGTCCTTGAGGAAAAAATAAAATAAAGGCAGAGATAACGAGGCATGACCTTAAAAGGAAGACTAAGACACCGTGACGATGGTGATACGTCATGCCTAAATCAGTCATCGCGTTAACAAACGAAGCTTCCTCGTCTCGCCCTCCTACAAGAATAGGGCTGTCGATCTAATTGTTGGACGTCGCAAATTTTTTCTCTTACCGCGGAACGTTATTGTGGCCATTGCACGACCACTAGAGCCGGCATCCCGCCGACAGTTGACACAGGGAGGACGCCTGTATGAGTCTCTTAGCCCACCTGTACACGCATTCAGGCGTAGGCTCATTCCCATTGACGTGTAAACAAGGCGTAGACATGTGTCACCGTCGCGGAAAAAAAGATGCCAGATGTTAGGCTCGGAATCTACTGTGCGTGGCACGCTAAACACCTGAATGTGAATATCACCGAGGTGAAGGCCTCCCCAAAGCTATTTATGGGGTGTTTTATCAGAACTCCAAGAGGGACTGAGAGTCTAGTAGCATAGGTAGCATCAGTAGGGTGCTAAAACACCGGCAGGAGTGATTAAGGCGCGTTGTTTACTTGAAGCGCCCCTTTCCTCTAATAGCAAAGGCCTGAAGTATCCCTGATGCACAATGTTTTCTCACCCATGTGAGATCAACCACGTTGAAGTGGACTAATCAGTTATGCAATGGTACGAAGATCACAATGCGGTATAGCACTTTTTGAGGGAATTGAGTATGCGCTGAGAACAAATTACAAAGGCTATTCCCACGGTGCAGAATCACGTGAGAGATATCACTTTAAGAGGGTTGAAGTAGCATAATGATGTGAACCCAACACGTGGTGGTGAGGTGTTAACTAGTCAAACCTTTGAGCGGGAGCAGTAAAAGTGGGTGACTAATTACAGCATTTCTTGGTGCTTTAATCCTCTCTGTCGCATGGCTGTATAGTCTGTCTTCCCTCCATCGCTGTCTCACCTACAGCTTGGACCCCACATTTCTCTTCACCTTCTAATGAGTTTTATGCCGAGGATAAAATTTCTGCTGGAAAAATAATACGGTAAATTATATTCCAAAATAGCAAAATGGGCTTTCTGTGTTGAAACAGCTATCCGTAACTCAGCTAAAATACCTTCCAATTGACACGCAGTATACTACTTATATCACAAGAGTAGGTTAACCGGTATTCACCACTCATGAAAAAATAATAATGCAATGGTTTAACACTAGCAAAGTGACAGAGAAAATGTCCAACACTCCTTATTTTTGTTATTATTTGGGGCGTAATCACTTCAGAATAGTACAAGCGCGATTGCCAATTTTTAATTGCTGTTTACTCGCTCATGGAATGTGATGATGGTTACCTGTGTGGTTACATAACTCATCAAAACAAATTTAAACAACATGTTGGGTGGTTACTACTACTCGAATTCCAAATTCAGATTGTTGACTCGGTGGTTCTAAGCCAAGTGCACATCTTCACTTATTTACGGAATAATTAATTAGATGTGCGACCCAGTAACGCCGAGGATGTGGAATCATCCAGAATAAACTGCCTGTATCTATTTCTAGACCACCTAATAAGACGTACTACTTATTTTCTCAAGGGATATAGCTTTTGTTTTCCTGTTTAGAAATTTATGTTACTTTTGTTGCACCAATTGTGCCCTTAATTCCGAAGAAGAATTACACAGTGGCTTAAAATTGCCTGCACTGAGGTGCAACATCTCGAACCATCTTCCAAGTGTGTCAAACAATTACCATAATGACTGTATGTGGTTAACGTAGGACCCATGCTCTATTCTAAAAGTACACAGGAAAAATGCTAGGAATACTTAGGTATTATCTACTTATCAAAAGGATAAAATTTTGCCAAGAAGACCGTTACAAAGTTTTAAAGGGTTTAAAAAATGCAGGATAAATAATTGAAGATATAAGGACAGGTAATGAAGTTTAAAAATCACCCACAATCTTACATAAACAAAGGTCGCAAATCTGCCAAGTGTGGAGTTCTTTTTGGGTGTTGTTACCTAGAAGCAAAAAGTGGGAAGCAATGGAAAGTCAATCTCATTTACGGGGTAATGTCGACAAAACCCGCAGCTTTTCCAGGTAATGTAAAAAATAGTTTTTGAGAAACTGCATCTGGAGACGTGTTGTAGTATGTCTTTGCAACAATCTCCAAAAATTGCTGAATATGGTCTTCTGCAACTAAGGAAATCACACAACCTCCCCAACCTGCTCCGGTTAATCGACTTCCATAGCTGCCAGCAGATCTACAGAAGAAAAAAAAACAGGAAAATGCTGCAGGTCTAGGTTTAGCCTAATGAATACATCCACAAATCGTTTATCCACCCAAACATTTCAGTTCTCACGCCATATCGGTGGTCCGATGTTTCATCCAAGTAGTTCTCTCTAGAGAGATCTCGGACAGTAGAAAAAGTTTACTTCATGGGGATGACGTTTCCTTGCATAACAACCAATTTATTTGATCTGTTTGGAATTTCCTTTACTTGATCTCAGTGTATCGTACTCAGTAAGTTCAATGGATATTTGGGATGCCCGATGCAATCCTCGTCCTACTTCTCTGCTCATTTGAACCTTGACTTATACCCTCCAATGGCATAGAGATGGACGGAGGTTGACAAAGTTCACACCCGATTTGTGTGAGGGGCTTTTTTCCCATGCAAAACTAAAAGGCGCTTGACTCATTGTAAACTGTCAAGACAAGCGTAAATCTGGTAAAAAATTACCCTAATTCGACGATTCTGTTGAAGGCGGGTGACATTTCTGATGACAGACCCAAGTTGTAAACGAATCATCGGTGAGCCCACTTTTGGCATTACTTATTTAATAATTGAAAGCTGAAATTCGACGTGTTCTTCTCACTTTATTCGTATATTTAATAGCATAGAGGGAATGAGCTCAATCAAAAGGACTTAGTGCTTTCGCTACTGAGGTCTAGCTTAAAGGCTAATTGACAACTCAGTCCTCCAAATTATCCTCACACAGAGAACAGGTGAAATCCAGTTTGTGGTTGTAAGCTCAACCACTTGCCTCTTCGCGACACGATTCAGTTCAGCCACAGCTCTCAGAAACTGGCAAAGAACACTGGCCGGACTCCACCAAGAAAATCGAGGTGGTACTCGTATACAACGCTGGTTGTAAATGCGTCCATGCCATAAAGCACGGTAGATACTTCAATTTGTGCCTCAGAAAGTATCCAACATCCTGAGCATGCCAAAATTTTAACAACTTAGTTTGCATTATATGTTAGGCTGTTCGCGATTGTGCCTATGCTAGGGGCCGAAAAGAAAACAACTTCTTCCAAGGGCCATCCATCACTTCGTGAACCAAAGAGGTTTTTCCATTCGCCGGATTTCACATGTCTTAAATTCCCCCCGACTTGATTCAGAGGGACAAATTTTGCGGTATTGCGTAAATATGTCTAAACACACCAAAGTGGACTAAGACCTCTCCATCAACTGCCTTTGTGGAGTGCCTGTCAAGTGTGTCTGTTGACCGGGCTTCATTTATGGAAAACACAGACTAAATCACCATTTTTTGTTAAAAAAAGAATCGCTAGATTCTAATTAGGCGTATTTGGGTGATGTGTTATAGTTAAAAGTGTCAAGGGGCTTGTCACTTGAAGGCGGAGCAAAAACTGAGCGTGAGAGCTGGGATAAGGTGAAACTCCGAAGCCCCAAACACAAAAGCATGATATGGTTGGGCATGATTGAAGCGGTTATGGTCGCTATCATTGCCTGGAAATAAAAGATTTATTACCCTGCGCAGGCAACATCTGCCATTCTCTGTAATCACTGTCTTTGTTTTGTTGTGAGAACAACTTATCTCTCGACTACCTCCATTTCAGCAATTTTGACTTCTCATTCCATGTGGGGCTTTAAACGGAAGGCATTTCTTGCAGCGGCATGGTGGCATAACAAGGCTTTTAACATCCATAAATATCTTTTAAAAAGGAGACACAGAGGGATAATAAAATCATGTTTAGGAATAGTTTACGAGGCCTAGTTTAACATCTAGACATTATCAATTTAATAAATGACGACATGGGAGCGATAAACCGTTCCAAGCAGTCTCCATTCAAGAAAATGAAATAAAAACTTTCATTTTCGCGAAACATTTTGCTTTGTGTTTAAGAAGGACTGAAAATGAATTATCTGGAATTTACAAGAAATAATGGACGGCTGCTTGATGATACTACTAATTACGAAATTAGGGTGTACAACAAAACGGCATTACTTGATCACTGTTACTAGGTATTTGGTAACCAACTTGGTATCATAGCCTTCTGTCTATGCCCACAGTCTCTCAGCCCTTCTGCAAGTTAATAATAAGCGCTTTTTCCTAATAACACTGCGTGCTATTGTAGTGCTTTGATACATTGAATGTATTTGACTACGTGGCCACGTTGTGCTTCCGCTCTTAGGCATAGCCTCCTACCTCTCCTCGATACATTAGTAACATTTAGCCTTCCCTACTACTTTGGCTTACTACGACTTTTGAGAAGGCTCGGGGCACATGACTACGTCGTCAAAAGTGACTCAGAATGCCACAAGCTTTGTGAGAGTAATTAAAACAAAGAAAATTAAACACAGGCGGGATAGCAACTTTCAGTCCGGCACAAGTTTCTTCAAAACGTGCACCACGTTATCATTGGAATGTGTCCGCCTCCTCCTCCTTTGCAAAATGTGCACAAATGAATAGGCGATAAAATAAACGACTTAGGTTTCCACCAGGTGCATCAAATTTGCCGAATTGGCGCCAAAAGAGGGCCTTATTGATTCTGACAAAAGGGCATCTACACCAAGTCGGAGATCCCTCCCTAGTTTTTCTTTATTTAGACCATGGTCCATGGCTTGATGGCGTGGCATTTATATTTTTGACTAGTATAATTAATTAGAGAAGGTTGAAAGGTTCGGTAATCATGGTAACTTGGCGCAAGAGAGGGGGCTTCTTCAATCTCTCTCATTTCGACGACCATCTTATGTTTACAGGCTCTAAACCCTTTTAGCCGCCATTAGCAAACCATTATTCTGTAACCAACTTGGTCATATTTATTTCTGTGGGTACGACTCAAAAGTGGACTAGAGAAAATAAAAAATGATTGTAAAATTACCTGCAAATGTCGACCAATTGATCAAGTTCAGAGCAGGAACAATTGTACAGATGACGGCAGGACTCGTGACTCGCGTTCATCAGCTCGCCTAGCTTTCGGAGAGTTTCTTTATTGGCATCTTCATCCCCTTCTTCAACCTCATCCCTTTTACACAGGTCTTTAAAGTCCAGAACTCGTTGAGCCTCCGAATAACAGTGCCTCGCGCACCTAGCAGGAGCATTTTCCGCTGTCAGAAACAAAAACCACATTTTTAAAAAAAATTTTGAATTTGAATGCGCATACCTAACTCAGCACTCACTGCGGTGAATAGAGGAGTAAAATCTTATCCTTTGTGGTGCAAATATGTTTACGTGGAGGCAATTTAGAGGGCAAGAACAAGAAGTTGAAAAACGAGATGTGGTTCACATTGTTTATGTTGTGATATATGTCGTGACAAATAAAGATGAGATTAAAACACAATCCCATGGAGGACATAAGGAGAAGATGTGGAGCTTAAAAAAACCTGTGGCTTTATTTTGTCTAATACCCGTTTTGACCTTGATCCCCGGGGATCCATGACCTTCCACATAAGTAACAAGGTCTTCTAGCAAAAAAAAGGAAGGAGTTAACTCCTCGTATCCTCCTGTTTTCACGGGATTTAAGACCTAAAATTTATTGAAAAGCACAAGGCTATTTTGTACCTACTTTGGTGCCACCCTGCGCAATTAATAATTGATACCGCGTCTTGTAACATGCCTAAAATTCGGGTGGTCACAATTGTTGCTATGGTGAAATAAAACTTGGTCAAATTCTCCAAACTGCACTTTAGACAGCTAAACAATAAAACCATGGGCAGCCGAAAGCAAGCTTAAGTCTAAATTTTGCACCCCACCGCCTTTTTGTGAAGTAATATATCACCCGGTGAAATGCGATACAGTACATCGCCACTTCGCCCGGTTTATGAAACTCACTATTAATTACTTTATGAATTTCTCATCTTTCACTTTTTGAGGCGGAAATGCTACGCAGCAGTGAAAACAAGGCATCTTCGCACATTGAAGGAATTCTACTAGATAGGTGTAGGGCAGTACATTGTGATCGACCCATCCCCTATCGGTTCGTCCACTCGTGTCTACCTCTTATTTGTCGGCCACTTTTAAGAAAATTTGAGAATCAATGTAGAGTGGAATTATAGTTTATCTCCCTTTATCGAATTTGAAACAACCTTGGAGACAAATGCATGGGGTGAGATTAATCACCATCCGTATAAATGAATACCGCGATGAATCCGACATGACCTTTTTTCTGTACAAAATTTCTCCAGCCCCACCCGATGAACAGCAGTAGGCAAAGTAGAGAATTTGGAAGAATGTAGAAATGCTAACGATAATTATGCTGATTCATTGCAAGTAATGGGGAAAAAATTTGTCTGAAAGTAAATAAAAGGAAACAAGGTTTGATTAAAGAGCCTAGTCAGCCCTCGTTGGCATTACCGACTTGGCTCAGAGGCTTGCCTTCTTGAAATAAACACCATGGAAGTCTATCAGCCTCTTCAACTCGTCCACCTCTTACCACCTCCGTTGATGTCAATCTATCTCGCCTCAACAGCGATTCTATTATTTGTTGATACCCACTACTTGGAGAAAGGTGAGGGTGAGAATGCCTACCCTCAAGGGCAGATGTGGTGTTATGAAGTGTCTAGAATTCGTAAAAGCAGCACCGATGGAGTCAATAGTCATGCTTGTTTCTCAAGAAGTAGATGACAATGTGCACGTGGAATCCCATTGTCTCGGCAGTTCAACATGATGAGTAAGAGGTCCTCCTAAACATCCTGCTTCTCTTTATTAGTGTTGGATTGTTAACGCTACATTGTGTAATTTGGTCTGATAACACAATACTGCACCTTTCTGAAGTCTTCTGTAAAACATCTGCAGTGCTGTAACCGATTCCACTGCAGATTACCTCCAATCACACGAGTCAGGCTCGTTTAGACCGCATGACAGTAAGGGGAGATAACAAAGATCACTGTAAAACACTTAGGGTTGACAGACCGACACACATCTATCCGTGATTTGTGGTTCGTCCACATAAACAAATGGCATGAATTTGAAGGTGTCTACAGATTTCAAGATATCATTGCCGTAAAATAAACTAAGTACCACACAAAATTTTTGTGACCATTTGATGAATTTATTTTATAGCGTTTCGGTGAGATGATATTCGTTTGGAGGTACATTCGCCGAAGCAGCCTCTAGTTTCCATAGGATCTGTTACAATTTAGGTGCTATGATTATCCATCCATCCAGTATCCATCCAGTATCCATCCAGTATCCATCCAGTATCCATCCATCCATCCATCCATCCATCCATCCATCCATCCATCCATCCATCCATCCATCCATCCATCCATCCATCCATCCA